TTTGGATGTTCTAGGAGTCATAGAGTGCAGAAGTGTAGTACTGTTCAGTCTGAGAATGACTTAAGAAGCCAAAAATATTGCAGTTGAAGAATTATTCACTTCCTTGCAAAAGTTTTGGTTGGTTTTAGAGCACTCTGTTTTAACACAGTGAAAATGGTTAAGTGCTCACTGGAGGAAGATGCACTGTTGAGATTGTAGCCATATAAATATATGTTAGAACTTAGAATTGGTTGCCTGAGTGCCATATACCTTCTTTGTTTGGACTGCTCAAGGAGCCTGGGCGTTTTGGAGTATTTTGTGAAATTTTCAATTGTGTTACTCTTCCGTGTGGCCCTCAGCAAACCTTGCCTCTTATCAAAACACAGCACCTGTTGACTTTAAATTACGTGGGAGCAGCAACTTTCATTAACCAGCTTGGTAGTAAGTGAACCTCTGGTTCTCTGATGCTTCCAGGATGTATGAGAAGATGCATCTACTCAAAAGCAGCTTTAATCAAACAAATGTCTTGTTTTCTTCTAATGTTACAGAAAATCGTTGGTGCTTAGGGGACAGAACAGTTCAGTTGTGCTTCTCGTAGTTTCCTGTTCAGCTGCTCAACAGCTTTTGTTGTCTGGGTGCACTGTGGCTTGGCCTCTTAATCACAGTAAGGATGTTTTATGTAATTGTGGCAAAAACATTATAGAGTAGAAATCTCATAACAGGTTTGGCAATGTGCAGTTTAGGCTGCTAATATAGTTATTCTTTCTTGTCCTTTGTTATGAATCTGTTCTGGATTTCTGTCTAATATTTGTATCAAAAATACTATTTTTATTTCATAATTTCAAGTTGGCCACCTATCTAAAAGTATTTTGTTGAGCTGTCTTTTTGGGAGCTTTTTAAATGTCACGTGTCTGACTTGGCTTTACAATACAGTGTTCAACTTCATGGAGGATGGGCAGAATTGCTATATATTGGGTATTCAAAGTAGTTCAAGTTAATCATAATGTTAAGTCTCTGCCATAAGCATATATATTGCATAAGATAAATGCTACAGAAGAACTACCCCTGTAGAAAGCTGCTGGAAAGGTATTTTGCATTGAAGACATTCAGTAAAACTAAGAAAAAAGCAGAAGCATTTGCAGTGTAAACAGCTTCCCTTTCTTTCCAGTCCCAGTGCTGTAATACCAAGTGTTCTGTGTTGAATTTCTGGCCTAGGACACAACTTCAGCTGCAAAATATTTCTTCTTTGTCACAGTGGTAAGAGTATTCACCTGAGAGGGGAAGGATGGCATTTGGCATTTCTTAATGCAGAAAAAGTGGGTTTCCTACTTTCTAGTCATCTGGTTTAACCACTTTTGATCTATAAAATAAACTCATATTTTTCTCTTTGATACTGTATTTTTTGTTACTATTTTCCACAGGCTTTTTTTCAAAGAAGGGGCTGTTCTTTGCTCTCGCAAGAAAATGGTTACAAGCTTATTTCTGGCAAGATTCAGGGTTATTTGAGAGAGTAGCTGTCCCAAGATCTGGATGTCTGGATTTCAGAAATGGAGATTACTGTAAGCAGTGTTTCTTGTGGTAGTCCTAGATGATTTCCTGTCAAGAGTCTGCCTCCTTAAGTCTGCCCTGAGTTATGGAGGGCAGAGTTTCATGTTTCTGGTTGAGTTACCAGGTCGGCAGCACTGGGCAGATGCTCCTGTCCCACCTCACTCCACATCAGCTTCTCCTTGTTGCTTTTGTCAAATCCAGTGTCCTCTTCCCTGTGGTGTTTTAGTGTAGTGGTCTCTTCTCTGGGTGATCTGGTGAAATTATCATGCATGGAAAAGGAGTGAAAAAACCTTCTGAACCTGTTACCTCGATGGTTGCCAAGTTCATTTAGGGGAAGTGCTAAAAACTGTTGGGTGAAGGGTGGCAGGACTGTTCTCTGCAGAGTCTCAACAGAGTAAAGGAACGGGTTTTGTGTTGGCCTCTAGATTTATAAAAATATATTTTAAATTTCAAGGAGAGAGAGGAAGTGTAAACTTTAGAAAGAAAGAGTCTACTAAGACATAACTTTGTTTTTAAACAGAAATTTTGTGTTAAATTTTTTTTACTTTTTTTTACCCCTTTTACCTAAAGACAGCTCAGTGTGTAATATCTGTTTGTGCGTAATTTGGGGGCCCTGTGGAATGATCTGCTGTGTTCTGGAAGTTTGAAGCCATTGTCCAACCCTCTGCCATGGACAGGGACACCTTCTGTTAGACCAGGTTGCTGAGATCCCTGTCCAGCCTGGCCTTGAGCAGTTCCAGGGATGAGGCATTGATGTAATTAAACAGAACCAGAAAAAAAAACCTTGTAAATGTTGAGCAGTATGTTCCCCAGGCCTCTTTTGGACTTATGAATTATTCTGTATAACAGAGTATGAATAAAAATAGAAAAAGGGGGTGGGTTAATGTTGTGAATTTGTGTTTTAAAAAGTATTAAAATGTTTATTTCTGGAACCTATGAGTTAAGTTAATGCTGGTATTGAGTTAGAGAAGATAAAACTCCTTGGTAATACAGGTAATCCCAACCGAAGTTTCTCTTTTGGGAAAAGGACATATCTTATTTGTATAGGTATGTCTATTTTATACATAGGAGATCCAGCTGGATGTCATTCTGGGTGTTTTCTTCTGTTGCTGTAATGATAGGGCTGGGTTAGTGTTGAAGAAAGGCCTGGAGATACTGGTGCTGCCTGTGCTCTCTCCAGTTTGCAAACGATCTATGAAACAGAAAATTGTTTTACGGGGCAGGATCTTGTGGGCTGTTGTTTCTGGTGGGAAAAAGGACTGTATTTTTTTCTTGCTGCTGGTTAGCAACAGATAACACTAACTTAAATTTCATTTTTTAAGAAGGAGGCCGGTGAGCAAAATTAATGCTCATTGTGCTAAAATGTATTTACAGTTTCATAAAACTTCAGTTTCTTATGATGGTCTTGGGACAGCTTAGAGGACAAAAGGAGTTAGTTGTGCTCTTACCCTGATTCTTGGATTGTCTTTTCTCAGAGACGGGGAAGGAGGGGTGGTCATGGCTGTGGACTTCACTGAATTGGGAAAAATAAGCATTTCTTATTAGGTCTTGTGACACCAGAAAAACACAAACAAATAAAACCACCACCACTGAAAGTTAAAACCAACAAAAAAACTCGAACAACAAACCCCAAACAATCCACCCAAAAACCACCACAACCAAAAAAATGATGTCTCTTTCAAGCTTGGTTGGTTGGTTATCTAACAATGATTTGGGTAGTGTTTATGGTAAATATAACTTGGGAAGCTTTACCTGCATATTTGTTTAGAGATCATTAGATCAAAACTACATCTTGAGACAGAAGTACCTAAATTAATATTGGTTTGTAATTGAAACTAAAGTGCATGACCTCAGCACGAAAAGTGGCCCAGCTAGGTAAGATAATCAGCTCTCTCAGCAATCTAGAAGTTATGTTTTCAGAAACGATAATATTCAAATTCAGAAGTCTTCAAGGTTTGAGTTTCTAATTTTTCTTTTTAAGTAATTGCTTTTCTACTGTTATATTTTCTGTGTGCATGCACAAATATTTGATTATCCCTTGGAGCTAATAAAAGTTTTGCATAAAATATGAATCTGTTTTTTAAAACACTAATTTGAAGAAAAATTTTAGCTTTTTTAAGGCTATGTTAAAATCTGCTTTCAGTTTCCAAAAAACTAAAATCAACCTAATTAAGTGTCAGCATTACTGGAATAAAGCCAGTTGCTGATGTGCCTACCCCATAATTCAGTCTGAAACTAAATTTGCTCTTCAGTATCTCAATGAAATTGTTGAAAAGTGATTTCAGACTCCATCTTAACTAAAATATTGTTCTTCTTGAGGGAATCTTTGAGCTAAGAAATTTTTTTGTGAAAACCAGAGAGACAGTCTCAGCAGTTAATGGCTTAGAATGATTGAGGCAATAACAATAGTTTGGGAGTAAACTTTTGAGAATGGAGTATCTGTTGGCCACTTTTCCAATCCTAAGAATGAGTTGCTTGTGCCAGAATGTTGAAGGCACCAGATTGTTTCTTTGCCTAGTATTTGAGCATCTATTGAAAAGTGTTAGGTATGTGTTATCAGCTGTGTGGAACAACATCAGTTTGGTTTATTGCTGGTGTAAACAGATGGATTTTCTGGTGAAAGTAATTCCTCAAGAGAGTGGTGCAGGGAGGGAAATTCATTTTACTTTGAACTTGAATAACTTTGCCTGCTGGATGTCACTATTGGGGGTGAAGAGAAGGGAAAGAAACAACTCTGAATTTCCTTATTTTATTTATTTTTCTAAACTTATCTGGCTTTGAAAATTCCTTATGGAAACCATTTTCTCAGAAAAGAATGAGCCCAGTGCATTGTGTCTGTGCCATTGAAAAAGGAGGTAGTTTGTTGCAGCAGCAACTCTTACTTTAGTAAAAATCCTTTGATATTTACAACAATTAAAAAAAAAAAAAAACAAAGCAAACACCAACCTGTGGTGAAGGAAAAATGTGATTTCCTGGAAGAAAACATGAGGAATTGTGATAATGCACTCAGTTACTAGATTTTAAAAGCAATGCATTGCTAGTGGGTTTTGTGACCTGCCTTGTGAGCTGTTGTTTGTTTGCTGCCAGGTGTACTCAGTAACAGTGTGCAACAGTTCCTCTCCTTTCTGAAGGATTTTATATGGCCAAATCTTTAATTTCCCCTCTTTCTTTCACATTCATTGCAAAGGTGCTATTGGCTACCGTTCCTATAGTGAGCAGTATCTGTGCAGATATGTGGAGATTAAATTGTTTAAGTCTCTTGGAATTTCTTGCATGTTATTATATTAGCAGGGTACATTAAATTGGTCACTAACTGTATCTGGTAATGAAATCCAGACTCATGTTCAGACTGAATGGGGAATCACATTTTTTGTGTGCTTTCAGTATGCAGAAATCTTCAGGAATACTGAAAAATCTTAACTTCTGTAAAGATTTTTGACTAATGGATTTTTCTTTTGGTTTTTCCTCTGCAGGTTCGATCTGTGGATGAGATGAATCATGAGTTTCAAGCTCTTGCCCTAGAATCTCGGGGAATGGGAGAGGTAATTACTGAGGGCTGAAAATCCAGTTGGTGGTTTGGAATTGTTGGTACAGTTTAAGAAGTCTAAATAATACAACATGAAGCAAAGAGCTTGTCTTCAGAACAAGTTAATTGTTTCTGTCTTAGGTGAAGGGAAACTAATTACATTAAAAGAATGTTGGGATTGTTATTGACTGGTTCTGCTGTTCTATGTCAATTCTTGTTAGATGAGTGATAGTTCTAGGGAACTGAAAGGGTTAGTTTTTGTAAGAGTGTACAATTCTATGAAAGGAGGCATGTTTTCAGGCTCACTGTATCTAAGCTAGTGGAACTTGCTACTCCTGAGAAGCCAGGGAAACTGGGATTTGGAAAAAAGATTTGGCTCCAGAAAAATGAACTGGCATACCCAGCAGAAATGTGTGGTAATTTACTATTTTTTCACTGGTAATTACTCCTTAAAGATTTTAACTAGGCTGAAGAGTGCTGTTACGTAATTTAGCTGGAGGGAAGAAGGAATATTTCTTTTGACTGATTTGATTTGTTTGGGTTTTTTTAAGTCAATGTACTTTAAGGTTGGGGGAAGGAATTTAAGAACATGCAGGATGACTTTGCTCCTTCAAAAGCAGTTCCTTGAACTGTTTAGGAGGTAATTGACAAGTATTAGAATTATTTGCCTAGTAAAGAACCTAGGAAAGAAATTCATGTTGAACTAAGATTTCTGATGTGGATCCTTTAGTCTTCCTGGGTATTTACCTAATTCAATTGATGGTTGAACCAGTGACAATATTGCAGCCTCACTTTCTTAAAATGATGGTAGGAGTCTTTATGGAAGCCACAACTACTGATGAAAAATAAGTGTTGTACTCTAGTTGTTAAGTGTTTCTGAGCTGACACATGGCCATTTCTGCTTGATTTTTTTTATTTTAATGAAGCATTCAAGCAATCACTTGGTTTTCAGCAATTTTTGCTTCATCCAGGGTTGTTTTTGCACCATCTCACATTTGAAAAAAATAAGAGATGGAGCCCTGTTCTTTAGAAACCTGAGTAGCCACACTGCTCCCCTCCTAGTTCTTAAAACTCCTTTTGAAAAGTAAAAGTGTTAGTGAAGTATCTGTGATAGTACCAGCAATGTGATAGGGTGGATGGGTAAAATTCATGGTGGTACTTGGTCTTTTGACACCCACAAAGTACTGTAAAAAGATTGAAAGATGTAAAAAGTGAAAGTGAGGGATGGCACAAATGCCTGGGAATTAAATTACAATATATATTCCTCTTCATACCAGTCTTTATTTTAGGTTATCTCAGATGGAGGGAGGTGTTTCTGCATGATTATGATTCTGTTGGTTTGTTTTCATGGCATTCAGTGAATCTATAAAGATGTTTAAAAAAAACAACACACAGAGTCAGAGTTTGGTACAGTACTGCAGCATCAGAAATTGATACTAAATTGTGACCCTGCACTCACCAGGTTATTTTGTCTTTTGTTTCAATGGTGTCTTCCAGGTATCTTGAGGTAGTACAGGTTCATATAGCTCGGTTGACTTACTCAGTAATTTTCTTGATGTATTGCACAACAGTAAAGTAGCTCTGGGATACATTCCATGGCTGTTTTAATCTTCCTTTTGATTATAGCCTTCTAGAATATTAAAGGAAACGTCCTTATAAAGTAAGCTGGAATTGGTGAAGGCTCCTACATGCTGTCCTCCATATGCTTTGAAAGGTGTTAAAGAGAGGTCAAGTCAAGTGAACTGTTTCTAGCTATTGGAAAATTATGTTCCTTGTTTTCTTTGTCTGCCAGGATTTTTCTCTGAACTGAAATTAATTTTTTTTTCATAATTCTAATCCTTACTGATACTTTTCTTCCAAACTGGATATCAATGCCTAGCTGTGAAATCTGTTGCAGACATCTTTCTCTAAATGTGTTTCACAATTTTAGCTTGGGTAAATTGTTACATTTATTATTCACAGATGATGCTTCTGGCTCCAGCTCCCAAAATCTATGGTGACCTGTAAGGTCAATTTAGTATTCTGAAGAAATAAGAACACGTGGTGCTGTTTCTCTCTAGGCATCTGTTTGCTATATCAGGGCAAGCCAGAATGGTCTGCAGGACTTTAGTGTGACCCACTACAGCCACACAAAACTTAGTGCCAAACAGCACAGAAAACTAAATCTTCTTTTGGGAATGTCTGTTGGTTTAACTTACGGGGTTGAAGCACACAGAGTTCATTTTAGGAACAAAGTATTCATTTCCAGTGTCAAAACTTCTTTTAGAGAAATTCAGCTGAGATGTTCGTTGAGCTCTGTAGGAATAGATAAAGATCTTAAAGATAATATTAAAAAAAAAATTAAAAATCATTCGAGAGTCAGTAATGGAGACTGTGCAGTTTCATATCAGAGAGCTGGTTAAGAGACAGCGTTAGCATAACTGCTTGTTATTATTTGTGTGTAGTAAAGGGCTTTGTCGGTCTTTGTCTGGCAAACACCTAACAGGGATCAGTGCTGGTACTGAAAAGGACACATTTAGTGTACTTTTGGGAGAGTAGTAGTAGTAAGAAATACTCCAGCCTACTCCATTATTTTTACTTATATATAATTGGATGTATCTTTGTAAAGTTTGTGTTTTATTACACTAAATGCAGGAAATGTTGAGGAAAACACATGATAGCAGGGTAAAGCACAATGATTTTAACTATCTGTATTGATTTGAGATGACTTCTAGATGAAGTCTTTTTTGGTACAACTAATCAAGCACGTTGTTTTTCCTGTCTGTTTCATTTTTCTGAAAAGTACTTATTTTATTTGAATTCCACAATTAAAAGAATTGACAACTGATAGGGTTGTTTATTTGACAATTCAAGAGCTAATACCTTCATTTAAAAGGAGCATAGTGCATGTCATACCCATCTGTCAAAATAAATAATAAATGTAAATCAGTGGCTCTCAGGGAGTCACAGTATTGTTAACTTTGTAAAACTGCGTTTATTTAAATATTTTAGGGACTTTGTTGTGTAGAAAGTTTGTGAAAATCATTTCAGTAAATCAGTTTAATCTTCATAGTTTAAATTTAGCCTCTCAGTATGGATCATGCATTATGTTTTGTGTTAAGGATACTTTATATTCTTTGTCTACCAAAGTACGACTGAAAGCAGTTGAATTTGTCTGTTTGAAATTTGAGCCTAGGTAGTTTAAAAAAAAAGGCAAACCTCCAAAAAACCAAATCAAACCTTAAAAAGCCCACACAAACAACAACAGCAGCAAAATCCCCCCCACCAAGAACTTGTACTTTTGCAGTGAGTGTTATTGCTTCTTTCTCCCAGGGGACAGTTTTCCCTCTCATACAAATCGCATCAATGAGTTTTTATATCAAAACCAGTATTGCAGTGTGTTCTGCTCTAAATTTGCTTATTTCTTAACACTGAGTTGTCTGAACATACCTGTCTGATAGTAGAATTTACTAATTTCTGGGTGAGCATAGTTCAGGTAATTCTCATTTTATGGCACTTGAGATATTACTAGATCTGTTTTATTCTGACAGGGTTGTGTGAGGTGGTGACACCTGCACTTAGGTGTTTCAAAGCTCTCAGCTGGACACATATTTGAAATTGGCTTAGGCAGCCAATTTAAAATAGAACATGATTCCCAAAAGCAAGATTTTGTAGATAACATTAAATGCTTGCTTCCTGTTCTACCACTCTCCTACAAAATGAAAACTAAGCAGTATTGCAAGCCTGTTACAAATAGAAAGCAAAAAGAGATGTGTATATTCCATAGGCTGATCTGGATTCTGTAATCTGCTTTTAGCTGAAAAGCAGCTGTAAGATTCCATTAATCTATTTCTCTGCCTTCAGATGGCTAACTTCAGCCCTTAAATTTGAGGTAAACTTATATCCTGCTGCTCACCAATTATGTTTGGTTAACACCTGGTGGTGATTCTCCAATGCATTTGGGAGTGGGCATCTCTGTCAGGGCAGATCACAACAGTACAGCACTTCTTGCAAGCATAACATTCTCCTGTGGTTTTATTGAGCTTTGGCTGTTGATCATCTTCCAGCGTGAATCCTTCTCTGTTAATGAATTTCTGGAAGGAACCCAGGGATTTGAGGTTAACCAGTCAGACACCTTCATTTCTGGTAAGAGCTCTGGGCAGCACAGAAAACCAGCAATCCTCAATTTGTCCAGAGGAGCTCTTGTCACCTCTGTTGCACTGTTAGTGCTGGGGGCTGCAAGTGGCAGTCTTATCCACCTCCTCTTGAGGCTGTTTTCACAAGTGCTTTCAGTGTCATACTAAGAAATATCTATATTATATACTGACTCCTGGTACTAGATTCATCAAGGCTCATACTAACCAGCTGTGAAGTTCAGTAGAGTTTTTAAGTCACTTAAGTTACAGAAGAAGCAAATTTCCAGAATGTACGCATTTATTGCAGACAGCTTCATCTGATTACGTTTGGTTTTTTTTAATTTCAAAAAATTTAAAATTCTAAATACAGCATTACATTATGCAGAATCTGATGGAATGTGCAGCTTTCTTCTTCCCTGCATATTGCAAGTTGTTTTCACTTTCCTTTCAGTTTATGTACCTTGTAAAGTACCTATTCTGTCTAAGAATACAGTTTTTTAGTTACATATAGGGAAAATGACATGTAGGGTTTGGCAGTTGTACTGTTACTGATGGGAAAAGGTACAGGAATAAACTAGTGAAATCAGAGCAAAAAGGATGCTAGTATTTGAGGAATTCTTGTTTGTGTGGTGCTTCTGTCATGTCACACTAAGTGTTTCTGCTGTTGAAGACAGTACAAGAAGTGATACTGATCTAACATGACACTTTGTTTTACAAGTAGGAATGAAAAAACCATACATCTAAATAACAGTGTTGGTATGTGGAACTTCACATATGAATGTCACAGATTTTTAACAGCCCTGTGGTCTAAAGGAGCTGACTTGCTACCATATGCATTAGTCACTTTCTAAAATTTGGAACATGATGCATTTCCAAGGGAAGAGAACTTCACAATGAACTGCAGTTCTTTCTGGTTATCACAGTATTGGTTAACAGCCAAACTTCTGAGTCTTTGGCAGGAAGGCACTGTTAGTTAAAGCTTCTGAGAAGACTATCTTGACTTAACACAGGGATTAATTTGATTTGCTTTTTTCACAGCTGCTTCTATATTCTGTATTTCTTCCTCATAACTTCAGAATTTCAATACTGTTGGAGTTATTTTAGCAATTCCTTTTTTACGAAAAAAGAGGCAGAGCAAATTTTTACAAGGGCAGATAGGGGTAGAATGAGGGAAAGTGGTTTTAAATTAAAAGAAGAGAGATTTTTTGATTAGATACAAGGAAGTAATTCTTTACTGTGTGGGTGGTGAGGCACTGGAACAGGCTGCACAGAGAAGCTCTGGCTGCCCTATCCATGGAAGTGTTGAAGACCAGGTCAGATGAGGCCCTGAGTAACCTGCTCCAGTAAGTGGCAGTCCTGCCCATGGCAGGGAAGTTGGAATTAGATGATCTTTAAGATCCCTTCCAACCCAAACCATTCTATGATTCCGTGATGTAAAACAAATTACTTGCATATCCTCTTAATATCCTCCTGCTATTTTTGCCCATCTGTAAGCATATTTCAGTAAAACCATCATCTTCTTTTGTAACAGCTTTTACCTGCCAAAAAGTTTTGGGAACCTGATGATTCAGCAAAAGATGGACAAAAAGGGATATTCCTTGGTGACGAGTGGAGAGAGACTGCATGGGGAACTCCTCGTAAGTGATTGTTGTATATGTACTGAAAATCAGTCATGATAACTGAATGGTATTCAAAACAAATTTTGTAACTGAATCTTAAATTTTATTTTCCTTTCATTTTAGTTGTGAAAATGTAAGCTGCATGGTGATTGTATTTCAATAGCACTTTTTGAAAGTTTGATTTGGAATTTTTTTTAAAGTTTTGTTTTAATACTTCTGTTATGATGAAATGCAGAAACATTACAAGCTGTGTTTTAAAAAATACTATAGTTTTATTTATTTGTTTGTTTTTAACAGACCATTCTATGTCCCAGCCTATTATGGTACAGAGAAAGCCTGGACAGGGTTTTCATGGAAACAGTGAAGTAAATGCTGTATTGTCTCCACGATCAGAAAGTGGTGGCCTTGGAGTGAGCATGGTAGAATATGTGTTAAGTTCCTCTCCAGCTGATAAATTGGATTCCCGGTTTAGGAAAGGAGCTTTTGTAAGTAATACAGTGTGTTAAGCTTGCCTGGTTACCTGCTATGGTCTTTGTTACATGGTTATATTTTCAGTTCTCTTTGTCTGTTTTTAATTTTTAACTCTTTAGAAGGAAGTAGTTGCTATCTGTCTGTCTTCCTTGGTTGGAGGGGGCAGAAGAGGGAAGTGGTTTGGGAATTTTAACTAAATAGCTGTCTTAAAGTGCTTTCCTAAAAACCTTATTTAAAGGTAGGGGAAAGACTGCAAATTGCTTAATTTATAATGTGTGATGAGCTTTATTCTAGATCTTCTATGTTTTCATGTGGGTTTGTTTTGTAACTGGATGTTTTAATTGTATAATATAAACTTTTCTCTAATTCAAAGTGTTACTGCTTTAACAGCACCGCTATAGTTAAGGTTGAGTTAGCTCTTCCATTATAAATCTTGGCATTCCTTTTCACATTTTGGCAGTTATTAATTGCATGTGGTTGAAACTTGATGATCAAGTGACCCACCAAATGCAATTTCATTGACAACAAACTGTTTGTGTTGTTTACGTGCACTGTAGTGTAGAATTAGGTCACCTTGTGGTGCTCCTATTGTGTTCTGTTCAATATTCAGAATCAAACAGATTCTTTTTCCTCAGGGCACTAGAGATGCTGAAACAGATGGACCTGAGAAAGGAGATCAGAAAGGCAAGGCTTCTCCATTTGAGGAGGACAAAAACAGAGATCTTAAACAAGGAGATGATGAGGATGTTACTAAAATAAATGGCAGAGGTTTGCCAAATGGAATGGATGCCGATTGCAAAGATTTTAAGTAAGCTTTTAACTGTTTCTCAAGAAGACAAGCATGTCTCTTAAGGGCATTATTACAGTTCTGGTTTGTGTGTCAGCTTTAAACATTACCCAGCTGCAGACTGATTCTTCTCCTCTCAAGTCCTCCCTTTCCCACCGTGCCACATGTTTCTTAGGATGTCATTAATGTGTGTGTCACTTCTCATGAGACAAATTCATCTTAACATAGTAACTATTAAAAGTAAATGGGTACCTTCTGAATGTGGTGCATTAAAGAGGGATGAAAACTTTAACCCTTTTAATGTCAAACTAAATTTCTTTCTCTCTCTGCTTCTTTTTAATGCTCTTTTACATCTGAGTGTTGTAGAGAGTAAGTCATACAGAATTTTAACTTCTGATTTTGCTAGTGGATACCACAGCCTAACACAACTAATCATTTCCCCATAAGTCTTTATAGAAGCCATATCTTTGACTAAGGTGGAGCAATGTATTTTCCTATTTATATAATTATATGTCACCCATGGAATGGTGTTGCGGTTTGGTTGTTTTTTTAGGGAAAAATAGATTGGACTAAGCTCAAGCTTTTGAACAGTCAACTCATATATGACAGCACAGCCAGTCTGGGTTTTTTTTCTAACACTAAACTGCATTTTAAATTGAGTATTTTTTAAGGGCTGATCCTTCTTGCTTGAATGACTGTGATGCATTTGTAAGTGTCATACAGAAGAATTAAAAAGATAGAGAACTAGAGTGCTGCTCATAAATTTATATTAATGTGATAAACATGACCAGATAGTTGTGGTTTCATTAGTTCATTACTGAGCAAGTATAATAAAATTTATGCTTGAATCCCATACATAAGTATTTCCTACCCTTTAAAAATGTGTTTACCTGAGACTAAAGAGGGATTCTTGAGGTCTGTTTTTCAAGCCATATCATTGAAAATAATACAATTCCAAGCATACCAGAGAGCTCACATTGGCTCCTTTCAGTTGTGTGCTGCAATATACACAATAAACAAATTACCAAGTTACCCATAGCAAATGCAGAATAACTTCTGTCCTGCTTTTCTTTACCAGTATCTATTTCAATTTTGAAATAGGTGTTTGTGAAGTACCTTCTGTATTATTTAAAGAGAGAAGTTATTGAAAAATACACAAATGCAAAAAAGCATCCAAAGCCAGTAAACCTCTCAGAAAAATAAAAAAATAAGGCCTTCTAAATGAAATGGGCCATATAAAGTGGTGGTATAGAGCCCTCCAAACTGAGGTTTATAATTGAAGTATTGACACAACTTTAACTATAGCAACAGAACAGCACCAATGTAAGGAGCAACCTGTATTAGCTAACCATAAGTATTAACAAAGAAACTTCATCCTGTCCTCCTCATTGTATTTTTATTGTACTTGTAGCATTTTTAAACTAAGTATGTACTGAAATAACTGCCTTTCTTCCTTTTGTTCTTCACTTTGTTTATGCTGTATTTCACTTGGGAAAAATAGGGAATATTAAATGGCTTTAAACTCAAGTTTTCAGCAAGACATGGTTGCTTGCTAGGATACTTAGATGGTAAGCCAGCATGTTATATGCAATCCTCATGGGGTTGCTTTTTACACTAAAAAAACCTCTTGGCAAAAACCTCTTCCTTTCTTTGACATATTTTGTCCAGAGTAATAAATCATACCGTGTTGCTGCAATAAACTCCCTAAAAGGCTGATTTCTAGCTGTACAGACTTAAGTGTTGTTATCAGCCATTACATAAGTGCTAGTAGATTTCTTTGCATTACACATGGGCTTCAGTGAGGAACAGATACTTTGGCTCTGGAGCCCTGAAGAGGAAGCAGAACAGGTAGTACTGAGGCTGTGTCTCTGACCTAGAATTAGCAGTACAGCAGACTGGTCTGGCACTGTACTGCTGGAATAAGCATAGGTTCTTCCTGCAAGATGGCATTTGCTTTTTGAGCCCAGTTTTCACAAGTAAAACCAGCTAAACTTCAAGTTCTGCAATTCCTGAGAAACAATATATAATCATAAAGTTCTGCCAACACAATAATGTTAGTGGATCATAGATTTTCTCACACAACTCTTTCTTAGAAGTTAACTTGGATTTTTGCCTGTAAAAATTGATAGTCTAAACAATATGGCCTCCCACAGAAGGTGGGATACCACTCAAGGTGTGTCCTAAATCTAACCAGATAGTGTTGGGAATCTCTTTAGGATGTTACTCTGTTGACATCTCACCTCATCAGTTTGCCTATAGATGTTTATAGGTGTACAAAAAGTCCCCTGTAGACTGCCAGTCAGATGAGAAAAGAATTCAGCTTTTATATATAATACTGTATCTTTGATGCTGTATATTCTATTCAGGGTTATATTAGGAACCCTTTTCCCCCACCTGTCATCACTGTAGTATACGCTATTAAATCAGTTGTGTAGGAAATGAAATGTTTTAGTCATATGCTAAATGAAATGATTATTACTTCATTTTACTCAAGGTAAAAATATATTGCTTGCTTTTCAGATGTGAAAAATGGTTACTGTATTGTATGTTTGTCTTTTCCAGTTGAAATTTTGCTGTGTCTTTCTGTTCTTTGGCATGAAATGCCCTTAGCCATTTCTTTTTTTTAAATTTCTCTGCAGTACCTTTCACATCACTACCAAAATACAATAAAGAGACATCCCAAAATTCGCAGGTGACCACAGTTCACTCCATTTGACTCAAAACAGCCTCACAAATCAGTTTGTTTTTCTCACAAATTATTTGAAGAGCTCTGTAGTCAATCTTAAACTTGCTGAAAAACCAAATAAAATTATGCTTTAGAGTTAAATGCATCCTTTATCTTGAGCCATCAGTGCATGCTGGTTGAAAATGATAAAATTAGTCTGTCACTTCCCTTTGTAAAGTCTCTTGAGTTCAGAGCTGCTTTGAAAGTAGAAGTACTGTTCTCTGTCCATGGACAGCTTTATTTAAGACTGAAGAGTCTGTCTTAAATTCCTTCTGAACAGTCGTACCCCTGGAAGTCGACAAGCCTCCCCAACAGAAGTAGCTGAACGCCTGGGCCCCAATCCCAGCACCACAGAAGGATTAGGTCCACTTCCCAATCCTACAGCCCACAAGCCTCTGGTAGAAGAATTTTCAAATCCAGAAAATCAGAATCTAGATGCCATGGAACAAGTTGGTCTGGATTCTCTACAGTTTGACTATCCTGGCAATCAGGTACAAATGGACTCTTCAGGAGCTACTGTAGGACTTTTTGACTACAATTCTCAGCAGCAGGTTAGTAATGGACTGTGGAAAATTGATCCTCTAAGTTGTTGATTGTCCTCTTGATAATCCGTCATTTCAACATGCAGTGCATTGAATATTATTTTGTCTGTGACTTAGTCAAGGGCAAATAACTGCATAATTAGTGTAGAAGAATATTATTGCATAATTTTCTAGTTTAGTAACTTGCTATTACGGAAGCTTGGTTTGACATATTTTTTTTTCCGTAAGCAAATCCAAGTATATTATAGCCCTGACTTTGGAAAACTGAAATGCATCCTTTTTTTCTTTTTTTTCTTCCCAATAGCTTTTCCAGAGGACTAATGCTCTGACTGTTCAGCAGTTGACAGCAGCCCAGCAGCAGCAATATGCACTGGCTGCAGCTCAGCAGCCACACATAGGTGAGGTTTCTGCACAATGCAGCAAGTGTCCCTGGCAAAGTGGGTGTGTTGTTTTGATAGACTCCTTTCAATTTACCCTGTCTTCTCATTCAGATAGATACTGATCACTTGGCCCGTTGCAATGGTTCTCATGAAAACTGCTCAGAATGACTGCTTATGACTGTACTGTCCTTAGTGGATGTTTTCTGTTGTAAATCTCCCCCTTTGGACAGTTGTATACAAAGAAATAAAACTTGTATTTTTGCTTCTGTAGCATAACAGTTCAATGTTGGTGGGAGTAGAAGTTAAAAATGCTTACTGCTGTAAGCAGTAATAGAAACACTAGCTTTATATACTAAAATCCAGTAAGCAATTCTAAGATTCTATTGCAGTTTAATATTTTTAGTAATCCAGTTAAAAACCATGGCACAGTAGAATTTTGAAATCATACTGTTGTGTTGATTAAGTTTTAATTTTTTCTTGTTAATGGCACCATTTAAGCAGCTCTTTCTTCTTGCAGGTACCCTAATGAGCTAATTCTTTAGCAGGCATTTTTTCAGTGCCTTTAGTTCAGTGAGTTAGTTAAATACACCAAGTTCTTCAAGTGCTGCAACTCATCAAGGAGCCTTCATTTCAGTGACAGCAATTTTATGTTCCACTGTGGAGAAGCTGTTGGTGTTTAGGGGAGGGAGGTTGGAACACACATGGAAGCAATTCCTTGTTTAAGGAAGGGAGGTAGTTGGGGTTTAAAGATTTCTGCCTTCTCCACTGGGCTCTCCTCTGAGAAAAAAAGGATTCTCAGGATCAGATGGGCAGGCAGAAGTAGGAACTATCTCCAGTGGCTTGTGTCCATGCTCTCCTGCAAATAAGTTTTCCCACCAGCTTGTTGTTTAGGTGGGTTGTGAGGTCTGCTTAGACTGGGATCAGCAGCCTATAGTTGGGATTGAAAAGTGACAGCTCTTCACAAATACAGCTGGAAGCATGGCAGATTGAGATGTTTGTGTGAGTCTACAGGTCCTGTCCTTGGCTTCTAAACTTTGGAGAAGCCTCTACTTTGTATGAAGTGCTGACTGAGTAGTCAGCTGAAATTTTTCTCTTTAAAATGCAGCCTCTTCTCATGTGCATATTAATAGAAATTTATCAAGAAATATTTGGAAAGAGTGACATAGTTTGATGTGCCTTGCTTGCTGCAACAGTTGCTGACTCAGTGTTGGATAAAGTGCGTGAATCCGACCGACTGGGGAAACTCTGGGTAGTGATGCTTTGTTTGCTGAGTTTCTGGAATTGTCTCTGCAACTGTCAATTCTGCAGTTGGAATTCCATTGCAATTCCTGTATCAAATTAGGATTCTTGGGAAGTAAGATTAGCATCTCATGTCTGGCTGTTTAAAAGCTAGGTGTCTGACTTAAACTATCTGGTTACATTTTTTCCTAATTGTCAGTGAAGAGATTTTTGTCTCTAGCAGGTGGTTTATTTCATCTGGCTGATTCACTTCACACACTAGATGACTTGCAAGATTAGTTTAACTTTCAGATAGGTAAAGTTGGGCAAGATAAATTCCACTTTGAATAATCCCTTCTGTGTAAGGATGGATAGACGCATATGAGATAAAGCTCCTTGGAGTCTTACAAAACAAAGCTGTTAGGCTTTGGGATTAGTAAGAAAGGACTGATGAGAAGACATAGAAGTGTTGATTTATGTACTTATGTACCTGGTCTTAAGAGCTTCCAAAGTACAAGCAGTTCTGATTTTAACAGATAGGCTGTGTGTTTTGGGTGGTGTGAATATGATGGTGCTTGCTAAGAATGTTGGCTGTAATGAAGCTCTGTTTGTTACTGCAGCAGGCGTGTTCTCCGCAGGCTTGGCCCCAGCTGCTTTTGTGCCAAACCCCTACATTATCAGCGCTGCTCCTCCAGGGACTGACCCGTACACCGCAGCTGGATTAGCTGCAGCAGCTACCCTGGCAGGTAACTGAACACTGCAAGTGTCTGTCTTGATAATGCAACCGAACAAAAAGAGAAAAAAACATTGAAATCTGTCCTGTTTATTCTCTGCAAATGTAGTTCTGGGAAGGAGAGACTTGTAAAAAAATGAATACTGCCATTTTGAAAATTCTTACTACAATAGAAAGATTTTCAGTTTGTTATATATGGATTCCAAGTTTCTCTTGCTGCTGGACTTCCATATACAAAATTTAGGGCTTTTTTTCTGTTCTAAAAGTGTTTATCCTTAATAAGGTGAATCTGACTTTGACAGTATGTATTGTTTTCAAAAGATGTGACAGCTAGCCTTTCCTTGTATATTTTTACTCAGTGCATTAATTTTCTAATTCTAGCTTTTCTCATTCTCAGTAGGCATGAGAATAAAGATGGTCTCCAGCATGCTAAAAGGCCCAGACAACAGTGAAGCATAGGAAGATCTCTTAAGTTACTAGATACCACTGTGCAACACCATGACTGAGTATTCCAGTCCTAGCTAGTGCTCAGACGTGTGCATACCATTAAAAAAAAAACACACTCCTTTGTTTCCACATGGTGTTTCACGGGAAGGCAGTAGAGAAAACTAAAAGACATGTATACATAATGGTTTATATGTACAGTCCTACGATACAGAGAGATTATTCCTCTACAGGTTCCTCAGCAATAGACTGGAAGAGTTAAGTGTGCCCACTTTGAGGAGCATCATGTATATGCAGGGGAGGCACAGGCAATAGTGTTTATAAGCAAGGGCATCATACAGAAGGGTGGAATCATAGATTATCAAAGTCTCAGTACATCACTATCAGGAGGATAAATTTTGTTCATACTATGATGTTCTGAAATGATCTTTTCTTCCAACATAAAAACTGGTTTTGAATGTTCTTTGGTACACAGACTCTGAATGCTTTAAGGTTTTTCTTTGTCATCTGAGTCTCACAAGGGAATTCTTTTTTTCATAGAGATATGGCTTGTTGTGAATTTTTAAAATTCACTCATTTGTATTCATGTGTCATTTTAGCTACTGTGGGATTTTTTTCTTTTTAATACTGATTTCTCTTCTGTAACTGAGAAGATGGATCAATGAGGGATGCTACAAACAGTATTTTAAGCAGTTGCACTAGATGGAATAATCATGCTTTCTGGTTTTAGGTCCTGCTGTGGTTCCACCTCAGTATTATGGTGTTCCATGGGGGGTGTATCCAGCCAATTTATTCCAGCAGCAAGCTGCAGCAGCAAATACCACAGCAAATCAGCAAGCAGCTTCCCAGGCACAGCAGGGACAGCAGCCGGTACGTTCAGCATGAAAAGCAGAGCTGTCTTACCTTAACATCCCAGTGTGTAAGGGTCAGCTGCTGGAAAATTGTACATCATTCAGATGTTGCATTTTATTGTATAATAAATGAATGTTAAAAACTCTCAATTTTCTTATTCATTGTCACTGTCTCACACCATGTTAAAGTTATTTTGCAGTCTCGGTTCTTGAAACAACAAGCATTTAAAATGATTCCTTTCTTCCAGTTTTTATTATGTGTGTAGGTGATGCTTCCTGTGTAGTAAATTAATGTAAAGTTTAATTTAGAAAACTGACAGAAAGGGATGAAAAGATACATTCGGGTAATTTTAGGAGGATATTATTCCTTTTAAGCTTGGGGAAAAACAGATCTGTGTTTTCATGAATTAGCTGGAAGACTGAATGTTACACATTTTTCTGTCCCTTTAAAAAGTAGGGAAATAAAGGTGTTACCAGTAGTTTTGTTGCTTCACAGGAAGGAAGGATTGCCCAGCTTATTTTTCTGTGACATTAATTGTATTGCAGCATCACCATGTGCCATATGGTGTTTTTGTCTTGATGAAGCAAGACTAAGCAATTGTCACAACAATCTGTTGAAAATTCAGTTTCTTTAAGTATTTCTTGAAAAATGCTAATTTTGTATTGTTCCTCTGGATACATTTTTAAACTATTGTATGAGTTTTCAGTATAAATGAATGGCAATTTTGACAAAGGAAAACCCCAAATTTTACAATAACTTTACACTTGAATGAATGCAAGCCTTTCAAATTTTTTACCAGCAGTATGGTTAATTTCAATGCCATTCTTAGAAATGTAACTTAAGAAGTCTGAGATACCGTTAATTCCAGGGGTTTCATCACTGTTTTATGTTCAAGTGGATATTTCTTTCTACTGATTGTTTTTTATCAGTGACCTGCATTGGTAACTGAATATATATTGTCTCTGCAGTTTCTTTTTGTTTTCTCTATAAAGTTAATACTGATTTATGCAAATAACATATACAGTTCTTTGTGGGAATATATTGTGAGTTGTATTTTTCGCTTATTTCGAACCTGAAAAAGCTGATTTTAACCAAGAGGAATAGAGTAGTTGCAAGAATTTAGATTGCTTTTCAATCAGATTCCTGGAGATGTGCTGTCAGAACATAATAAAATATGCCTGTGTTGCATGGTGATGGAGTGTTATGTGAATGTTTAAAACTTAGTGGGTGCATTATTTACAGCACTGTTGGCAATGGAGTGTTAATTATTTAGACAAGTTACTACAAGTGCTGAAATACTCAGATTTAAATCATTCAATTGCCTGGAAGTAATGTCAACAAATGTGTTTATCAAGGAAGGTCAGGTGTTCAGTTAATAAATAATGTAGGTTGTAAAATGTATCACTCTTACAGATTTTCTGCCTTCCTGTATACTCATTACCATTGATGGAAGATACCTGAGTCCTGATGTCCAAAGCAGGGCAGATATTTTATGGTCTCACTGGTCAACAAAATGGTGTATACCTTTTATTCTTTGTATGTGTATATTCTGGAAACCAATGAGGTGCGGGATTCCCAAAGTGAAAATCAGGGCTGTGAGGCATCAGATGCTCAAAGCAACTGTTCTAGACCTTTGTTAGCACATAATAGATTGGCTTCCTTACCTTTTAAGGAAGGGGTGTTGTGTTGGCCTTTTCCAGGTCCTGCGAGCTGGAGCAACTCAGCGCCCGCTCACTCCCAACCAGGGGCAGCAAGGGCAGCAGGCAGAGTCACTTGCAGCAGCTGCAGCAGCAAATCCAGCTTTGGCTTTTGGTCAGGGTCTTGCTACAGGCATGCCAGGTATGTATGTTATCAGTGGATTAAGAGACTCACAGAAAGTAAGAATATTGGTGGTTTTAGGTAACAGATTGACAAAGTGCTGTTCCATTTACAATGAGCTGCTTAGAATTGAGTTTTATAGTTTTGTGTTATTCAGTTGGTTTAAAATACTGGCACAGTCATTTTAGAGCACAAGAAGCTCCTCTAGTATTTGTTATTTGGAACATTTTCTCTGTGTTTGCTGTTGTAAATGTATGCACAAGAAATAAAGATTTTTGCAAGGTAATTTCATATATAGTGAAGCAACTACATGCTGTCTTAAAAGTCATTTGTTCTCTGGTTCCTCTGCAACAGGAAGTATTGCGTTTTGCTAGAATAACTTTTTTGGGGGGCATAATATCATCTAAAATTCAGAATCCAAAATTAAGACATTTTTTAAAAATTACTGCTTGATCATATCTGAAGATCACAAAATGCTTAGAAACATTCCAAATGTTGGAGCCTCAGATTCTTCTAGTGTTCATGGCTTCTGACTTCCTGAGAAGTGGTTCATGTGTTGTGGAGTGGTTAGGTTGAAGTTCAATATCTAAGTGTTTGGTACAGTTACCTGAGCAAGAGCAGTTTCAGTATACTTGGCCATTCCTCACTATGAAGGTTAAGGTTTTTGCATAGTTGAGTTAAATCATGTTGATCCATTCCTTTGACCTGTGCAAGTTCTCTCGTTTGTCGACACCACTGTGAGATGTCCTGCAGCCTGGAGCCAGAATCGTTCACTACGTGCTCTGGGGCTGCATCGTGCACTTGGCCTCCCATTAGCACGTTTTTGATTCTAGCTGCAGAGCAGACTGGCTATGGTGTTTTTCCTGTCTGTTTTCTTTTATAACTGCAGTTTCTATTTCTTCTCATGCAGTAGTTATCTTCAGCTTTTAGCATCTTTCTCCTAAAAATGAGGAATCATCAAAGTACAGTCCTGGTACCTGCCACCTGCCAGGTGGTACTTCTGCACCTCACCGAAGCAGTGAATAAGGGTACAAACACTAAGGCATGTAAGAGATGTTATAACCATCTTTGCACAAGCCTCAAAGGCTTAGCTATAAAATTTTTGGTTTTGAGAGGGGGTGTGGTGTACATTTTTTATGGTTACTTGTTAGTTCTTTGGATCTGGAGTAGTAGCTGTCTTAAGAGTAGTTCTTAAAACCCGTAAACCCCACCCAGATGGATGATTGAAAGTAATACTGAGTGGTCAGATACATAACCTCAGTAGTGTAAGAGCCTGTCCTTTGAAGAAGGTACTGGAAGACTTTTTTTCCTCTTCCACAAGTCCTAAAAGGTTTTCCATGAGGGCGGGAGCCTTTTTATTCAGTTTCTGTTGTAGGCTCCTGCTTTATCCCATCTGATGCTTCAAGCCTGGATGGCCAGAGAAGAACTTCATTCTTCTGAATATATTTCAGACTGTTGTATAATAGGAATTGTGTGCAACTGACTTAAGCTTTACCAACCACACTATTACAGGGAATAGAGCTGAAAATATAAAGACATTTTTTCAGTCATCATCAGATGGATTTGTAGTGACTCAGGAGTGCTGGTGATTCCTCTTTTTAGCTTAAGAAGAATATAAAATGAGGAAATGAAATATGTGGGAATCTTGTTACTTCAGCTCTTCTTGAGAGAGATGCTTGGGCTCCATTTATAAGCAAAGAGAAATAGGAACTTTTACTCTTGGTTTGTCTGCCTCTATTTTAGTTTCCTGATTTAGGATAAAGTGAGTTTGGCTCTAGAGATGCCTTTTTCTATTACCTTACTATAAAATTGAATCTGGATGACTAAATAATACCTAGATACCAAAATGTGATTCAATGAATCCCAGATAGCAACCACTGAGCAACACCTGTAATAAACAAGATTTTGTGTGTAATTCATTTTTCAATGGACTAAGATGTTTTACAAGAATATGAAGGTCCAAATTGAGTTTCAAGCTTTTAAATACTCTTTACAGAAAGGATATTTGTAGTTTGCTTCACTGTGAACCAGCAAATCAGAATATATTGATCAGCTTGTCCGTGCTGCTGTCTTGAAATTATTTTAGCTGCTTTCTCCTTGTCACAGCCTTTATGTTGGATGAAATTCATGTTATCCCAACTATTTGAAGGCTTTATTTTGAAATTTGATGTTTCAGGTGTTTTTTGTTAGCTGTTAAGGAAGATGTATTCCTGCATCACTTAAGGTACCTATCTCATTCTGTGTGCAGAGAGAAGGGGCCTGAAATCCAGGTTACTTTTTCACATAATGGTACTGTTAGGTCTCCTTTCAGAAATCATGGAAGGATAGAATGGTTTGGATTGGAAGGGCCCTTATAGATCATCTCGTTCTAACCCCTTGCCATGGACAGGGAACTTTCCACTAGACCAGGTTTCTCAGAGCCCCATCCACCCTTGTTTTTGAACACTTCCAGGGATGAGATGGCAGCAGCCTCTATGGGCAACTGTTCCACTGCCTCACCACCCTCACAGTAAAGAATTTGTTTCTAATATCCCATGCAAAACTGCACTCTTTCATTTGGAAGCCATTCCCTCCTGTTCTATCACTTCATACTCTTGGAAAAAGTCTCCAGCCTTCCTGTAGGCCCCTCTGGGTACTGGAAGGCTGATAAAAGGTGATACTTGAGGTTCTTTTTTAAAACCACTTAATGTGAAGTGTACTTTGCATTGAAGTTACACAATACCATTTTAAATTCTTCCTATCCTAATATTGAGCAAGTCATTCAATAACAAAGATTCTGAAAAAACAGAGTGTTTCTGCCTTCATATATGTGTGCAGAAAGTATCAGAGGGTATTCCCAAATTCATAGGGCAATTAGTATACATTCTGCTTATGAGTAGAACCAGTTCTCATCACAGGCACCTTCTGGACTTGACTTAATCATCCAAAGTCGGGAGTCTGCTTGAGACTTCAGCTGTCTTAAGGAGTCAGTGGAGATCTTCCTTGTGCAGTTGCTGTAAAGAGACTGCAGAGCTGCTCAGCTTACCCAGAAATAGATGTCTGTAACAGCAGGTCAGCCAAATCCCACCAGAGGCTCCACTGACTGCACTGGCTAGGTCAGATACAACTTGGTTTTATGGAGCTCACACAGTAAAGCTGTCATGGTGCATCTGGCTTGCAGGTGGACATGTAAAGTGAGTAGTCTGGGAAAAAACACCGAAGTAAAAAGCATTAAAATCAACAGTTTCTGTCCATTGGCATAGCATTTTTTGGTTTTATTACCTAGAGGAATTTGGAGTGTGACATTGCAGTGAGAAGTATGAAATAGAAGTCAGATTTCATTGTGTCAGATATACAGTGTAGGCAAAGTTACAGTGGTTACAGAAAGTATAAATGGGTTACTACCTGGATAGTAAGTTCTGAATTTGATTTTTGTGAGGATGTGCAGAGATAAGGCTGAGCATGTCTTCCTCAGTACAAGCAAAAGGTTATAGGGGTTCAGGTTTTGGACAAAGAGAATTGGGGAGGGTAGAGAATGGAATTTTTAAAAGGAGCAGATAATTGAGTTGGCAGTAAGGAGTGTCACAGCTGTTAAACTGTGTAGAGACAAGTGGCAAACTGGCATATATTTGGATGTCATCACTGAGGGAAGTTGCACTGCTGGATGGATAAGGGCAGTACTAAGGATGAGCTGCATGAGCCAAGAGAACAGATTTCATTTCCTCTCATTCTGTAGGTATATTCAAGGTTTGTGTGACAAGAATCAAAAAGTTTTTCAGAGTCTGGTTTCTGGAGACATTCAGAAATCATTTCAGCAAAACACCAGAGTTTTAAACTAGATTGTTTACTTTCACATTCCCTGCTGATACAGAGACAGTATAGATAGAGCAATTGAACTCTAAAATAAAAGGTGCGATTAGGAACTGATTAGGAAACAGTATGTTTTAGTTTTCTTACTGCATGGGAACACCACAGAGAACTTGAATATGAAGGCACTGAAGTAAGATTGATAATTGTTAATTTTGAGGGGAAATTGCACAGCCACAGGGACAGATGATTATGTGATGGAAGGTAATAAAATCTGAAACAGGAAGAGAGGGAATTAGAGAAGAGATCTGCCAAGTCATCACCTTATCTCTGATATGAGAGAAGGCAGGGGAAGTTTCTAGATTTGTGCTCAGATTTCTGGGATGAGGCACAATTTGTGGAATTGTGGAAAGGAAAGGAGAAGCTCTAAGTTTGTTGTGAGAGCTCTTCCTCAGTTATTTAATTTTATCTTGGATGGTCTCTCTGAAATCTTATTTTTGATATCAAAGCAAAAAAATTTATACCTTTGAGGCTGCAGATTCACTTAGCAAGGTTTTAGCAATTTCACAAATAGCCAGTCCTATATTGCTTTGTTGTGGTAGATTTCAGAAAGCTGAGGCCTACTTTGGTTCAGAATGTATTTCAGAAATTGGAAACAGAAATGAACCCATCAGTTCTCATTCATATCTTTACCCTTCTGTGGCAGTATCTGGATGCTACTGACCTAGCTTATCATGACTTATTTTAAATGTACTGTCTGTGGGTGGATCACAAGTTCATATAATGTCAGGGAAGTATCAAGAGGGCTTGGTCATCTTGTAATGTAAAGAGCAAGGGCAAATTGCTTCAGGTTTTAAATTTAGCAGTCATATGAATAAATTATTTTAGAAAATCCAACATTAATTAGATAATAATGCATTAGTATTAATTTCAGTAAACTTAATTGATGCAAAGTGGAAGTTATCTCCCCTGCCTCCCTCCAGATATTTTGCATTGGAAAATAGGCTTGTTTACATTGTGAGCTTGAAGTCATATAAAAAGCTGTATGTTAGCTTCAGATGAGTGAAAGGGTGTAAACATAAAATCAGTGGGTGTTTTATGCAGTTATACTTCAACAGTTACAGCATTATCCTTAGGTTTGTGCATTTGAAGAGGGTAGGTGGGCAGAGTAAATACTGCTAAGCATTAGCGAATTCTGCGTTCTGAAAATGTGGTTTTATAAGATACAGCAGAAACAAACAGCAGAACCAACATGTTATATCAGTTCAACCTGCTACAAGTAGAAGCAGAAATTATGTAGGTATTAGTAATTAACATGGCTAATGTGTGCAGGAACCTGTGTTATTATAATGAGCTTTTGTACTGTGTCACTAATCCCATATTTTGTGTTATCTGCAGAACTACAGTGAAACAGACAATAGTTTGTCACCTTTCCCTACCTTGGGAATGTAGCAACTTTTCTTAGTAGTGGAAGGGGTAGAGCAGAGCACGTTTTTGTAGGTGGAAGAGGCAGTGGCACCTCTAGCAAAGTATTTCCATCTAGTTCAAGTGTAAGAATGTGTTTTGGTTGGTTTTAACTGGCCAAATTTTCAGACAAATTATGTGGAAGGCAGTTGTCTTCTTGTGCTGTTGGTGGGAAAGAGAAGGTAGATGTGCCTGGAATGCAAAGCGAGTAGTGAGCAGTGAGAACAAACAGGTTTAGAATTAGAGCAATTATGATTTTTCATAACCAGTATAATGCATTCACTTCCAGAACTGTGAATTGAACCTAAAAATCTGGATTTTCATTGCTCCTGTCCTGTTCAGTGCTGCCTGAGTCTCCTTCATATCTTCATATTATCTTATCTTAGTGTGTGAGAATTTGGACCTGTGTATCCATCTTCCCTGCAGAGCACTGCACCCACCAGGCCAGAAGGCAGATGATGTTTCCACCTCTTTTTTTGGATTGTATCTAGGCAGAGGAGATCAGAGATGTTTTAGAAATTGAGGATGAGAAAATATGACTTGGAAGGCTGGTGACTATGGTACTCACCTTAAATCAGAGGTCCAGTTATGTTCAGGTCCATATGTATTTCAGAGAGAAATCTGCTAGACCTAGTTCTGAACATACAAGGCAACTGATGGGAATAGCTGACTTAAAATAGAATGCAAAATCTTTGTTCTTACATAGAACAAAAATAGATGTGTGACTTTTGCAATCTTGTCTTTTTTCTTAATACTGTTAGTATATATTTGAACATGGGAGGAATATTGAAATTCCATTGGGTTTTATTTCATTGCTTCATAAGAATACTCAACCTAACAACTAGAAATTGTTGTATTTTAAATATCAGCATCCTTTCTTAGATTGTCGTAGCTTGTCTTCCATTTTTGAGAGATTTTTATTCCAATTCATCTACCTCAAAATAAAGTGTCAAGAGCTTTAAAATTAATTCTCGTGCTCTAGTTCTAAATAAAGGGTTGGTTTTTTTTTGCTTGGCTTTCTTTTGGATCTTCTGCTTTTCCTCATTCATATATTGTATCCTGTATTCCTTCGAACTGCTTGCTTTTCTTCTTTTTCAACTCCTCCTCCCTTTCTTCATCAATTCCAGTTCTTAACTGTCAACTGAATGAAGTGTTATGCTTGCATTACAGTCTTTTTTATTCCTGTGAAACTGGCTGGTCCAAGGTACTCCTGCACACACAGCATTCCTTTCCTAATGTGTTTTTTGCAGATGGACTTGAAGTGTGGTTAGGTAATGTGTGGAATTGCCAGACTTGCATTTAGCTTAGCCTTTTAATTGTACTCGTCTCAAGAGCTTCTCCATATGCAGAGGAGTACAAGAGAAAAGTATTTTAAACTACTGAAAGAAATTGATTTGATAATGGTTCAAATCTGCCAGTTGTGTTGTACCTGTACCTTCTCACTATGGTGTTAGAAACTTTAACCTTGACAGTAAGTTCAACTTTAGACTACTAATTTTAGCAGTTATTTTAGTTGTAAAATATAGCTTGAAGCATTTCTAAACCTTATTTTATCCCAGTATTTTATGATCTTTATTGCATTTGCTTTGATGTCCAGTTGATAGTCAGAGACTGTGGCAGGAATGCTGGTTTGTAGTTTGTGGTTAGAATATTTCAAGGAGAGAGGACATGAGCCTGTGTGTAGCACTGATCCTTGTCTCCTGTGTGGTGCAGGTTACCAGGTGCTGGCTCCCACTGCTTATTACGATCAGACTGGTGCCTTAGTCGTAGGCCCTGGAGCGAGAACTGGCCTTGGTGCACCGGTCAGATTGGTGGCCTCAACTCCTGTGCTCATCAGTTCTGCAGCAGCACAAGCAGGTAAATATTTAATCCTGCACAGAAGTTTCTTTCACTTCTCTATTGAATCTTAACAGTAATGTTGATTAATATTTGACATTGTGTTTTCCTGTGCATCTGTGAAGTTTTCTAGTTGTGAGCGATATACTGTGCGTGCTTGCTTTTTTATTCTGTCTTCTGTTCTTTCTCACAGATGGGATTTTCCATTTTTAATTGGAATTTACAGTCCTGTTCCCATACATTCACAGGCATGTTTCTGCAAATGTTACTTGTCAGATAGGAACATTTTCTCCTTCCTCTCCCCATGCATTATAACATGCACTTCTCATCAATCCCCTAAATGGTGTCCTCTAGGTAGCATCATTTCATTGCTTCGGCCTGGCAGAAGATGGACTGCCCTGGAACCTTGCTATGCTTTTCTCATGAAACTTCTTTTCTCCTGAAAAATGTGGCAAGGAGAAAGCTATGTATAGAATGGAAAGCAAAAGAGGAGAATTAGTTTTATCAAAACTCTCTAGTTTCCCTCTTTTTTACCAGTTGTAAGATCTAGTATTACTTTACTGAACCATTTATTGCATTTGTTAAATTAAAATCTAGAATATTAATCCTGGATTAATTAACTTAATCTGTTCAGAAAATTAGATTTTAAGTTAATCTATCTGCTTCTTTCTCTGTGCAGAACTTGCTTCTGACAGTAGCTGAAGATGTCTTTGAATGACTCTTAGCTGCAATTCTGCTACTGCAATTTTGGATATAAAAAGTTCAGTAAACAGTAATCTTACATGTTTACACTGGAAATTCCCTCAATTACATTAACAGTTCTGCAGCCTTGATTAGCCTAAAACATGTGTTGTCTTCACCCTTTTTCTTTGAGTAATTAAGATTGTATAATACTATTAAGTCTCTTAGTCCTTTAATATGTGAATTTCTGCTTGTTTTAAGAGGGCTTCAAGAAAATACAATTTAGTTCTGAATAATCCATTTTCAGTCAGCAATGTTCAAGAGAGTAATTGTGATTGAAAACGTGTGTTTTACAGCTGCAGCTGCTTCAGCTGGAGGAACAGCAAACAATCTCGCGGGAGCCACGAACGGTCTATTTCGGCCACTTGGTGCCCAGCCACAGCAACAGCAACAGCAAACAAATAGTAGCCTACAATCCAATTCATTTTATGGCAGTAACTCTTTGACCAATAACTCCCAGAGCAGTTCCCTTTTTTCACATGGTCCTGGCCAACCAGGAAGCACATCTCTTGGCTTTGGAAGTAGCAGCTCTTTAGGAGCAGCTATCGGCTCTGCACTTGGTGGATTTGGCTCATCAGGTAGGTTGTTAATATAGTGAGGACATTCTGTGAGACTTTTGTGCTAAGCAAAAAAATGTATCTGTATCAGGCATCATATATATACATACATTTCTAAAAAGAATGCAAAAATTGATTACGTAAGTTTAAAGCAAATTAGAGGGAGAAATAAAAGAAGTTTTAAAAATTTACTTGGGTTCTGTATAGAAGATGCATTTTTGAACAGTATCTTGTAGTCACAGGAATCTCCAAAATACTTTTCCATACTGATCACTGAACTGTGCCCCAGAAGTTTGTTACTGTTTCTGTAAGCTGCTTTTGTATTCAAGAAGGTCTTCATTCTATGGTTAAAGTAACAATTGATGATAGTGAAGATATACATTCTTTTGTTTTAATAATTATATCAGAAAAATTCCTAATTTTCTTACAGCCTATGACTTTCTAAATTTGATCGAATATCAAAGTGCTTGTTTCCATAACTTTTTTAAAGGATTTATAAAACAAAAATACCTAATACCAAAGAATAGTCCTTGTTAGCTCTAGCAGGTTTAATCTTGGTTACAGTTAAGCTAAATAGTTCTGTGCATGTTTGGGGCCTTTAATTATTTCAGCAGATACTCCTAAATATTACCAACCTGTTTATATTTAAAAAAAAATCATTCTGTCACATTTCTGCTCTAAAGCAGAAATTTCATATTCACAGTTTTTAAACATGCAAGGTAGGTTTGTTATATTTCAAATTCAGTTTTAGTAAAGCGAGATAAACATTTTTTAAGAAATTGCCTTTTGCTATTAATCTCAAAGTTTACAGCACTGAATTGCTTCTTATTGCTAATAATATTTTAATGAAATCAAGGGAGCATGTTTGATCTTGCATATTTTGCAAATGGGTAGAAATTGGGGGAATTTTATGCATTCTAACAATTCTTTGCAAAATTAAGGAAAACTAGTGCTAAAGAAAGCAACTTTTATAAAATGACAAAATGGCCTAATATATGGGGGAGAAAAAACAGAAGGAAAAGCACACCCTTCAGTGTTAAGTCATGGTAGTTGTTTGGTAACAGTGTGACTAGTGACATCAAATATGTTGCATACCAACACAGTTTTTTTGTCAGTGTTAATTTTCATAAAATAACCAGAAAAATTATTTACTTTAACACAACTAATGTTAGGAAGTCCAAAATCAGGTTTTTACACTGATCCTGTCCAGTATCTGATTTTAAAGAGGAGACCGGAAACATGCCATGTTCAATTAAAAAAAAAAAAAATTGAGGCTTTTCAGTAGTGTAGGTTTTCTTAATTTTTCCTTAATTTACAGCAAGTAAATTTTATTTACAAAATTGTGCTATCCAATATTACATAATATAACTTGTCCAGAGCTATTTGTAAGGTTTCAGTGAATCCTTAGCAGCTGTGTTTCACTCTAGGGACAGTTTCATTACAGTGGTAGATAGTCATAATAAATATATATATTTAATACCATGCAACTATTTAAGGTCTCTAGATAGAATAGATATAAGTCATAAAAGTTCTTATCCTGTGTTATCTGAAGAACCTCCATAGAACACAAATTTCAGTTGTGTATCTACTTAAGAAAATCAGCATAGCTTTTTCTGGCACAGGAGATTAAGCCTTTTTCTTGTAGCAAAGGTCAATTACAGAGCTTTATCCAAAGCCCTCAGCACAGAGAGCACATGCTGAAATCTTGGAGCAGTATCCAGGGTGAATTTAATTAGCATGGTAGTTTGCAGAGGGAAGCAAGAACCCTATGCTTTTGCAGTTTGAGAAGTGCTGATGAAAGGTGCTATCTAAACCTGAAATATTTTTCATCGTATTATTAGAATAAAAGTATATTGAAAGTGCCCTTCTGCCAAGTATAAATTGTACTTGCCCTAATAGCCACTTAAAAAATGCTTCCTGATTATTTATTTTTTTTTTTTTAAATTCTGGCCTGTGTGTATATATGAACTGAGTTTCACAAATGAGCACTTCAACAATTGGTATTCATGCATATTGAGGCAAATTAAAAGTTTAATTTTTTATGTGCCATGGTTTTAGCTTCTTTGTAACTCCCATCAGCGTGTTGAAAATGTTGAATTTCAGTTAAAATATAGCCATGAAGACTGATAGATGGCAGAACACATTTTGCCCTATGTTTTCAGTTTTTGCAGGGGGCAAAAATAGCTGCAAAAAATGTGAAGGTGAGCATGTTCTAGCTTGAATGACTGAACAAAGTAACGGCTGAAAGCAGCAAACATACCATATAAATGACTGTATGTACTCACAGTCTCTGTTCTTTTATAATCAAGTTATTCATACTCCATTTTAAAGGTTTAGGTACATGATGATAAGTCACTGCAGCTTAACAGGTAGCCAAGAATTAGATAACTGTGGCAGCTTTCCAGATGCCGCCTTCTGGCTTGTAACAACTGTAAAGGAATTGCATTAGATAGGGATGGGGGAAGAGGAGTAAGCCAATGCAACTTCTGTGTTTTGTGAGCTTTGCTTGTTTTGTGTGTGAAAATGCAGCTCAGCTGCTTTGTGGTAACTTGTTAAGCTGCAGTAATTTAGCTGAATAAGAAACACTGAAAGATGGAAAAATGGCAGTCCCTCATGTAGCATTGTATTAACATTGATATGGTTCACTGAGCCAGAGCCTGTAGAGCTGGTCTCAGAGCTTGAGACTACTTTCAACTGTTGCCTTAATTTGCTCTTCTGGTTTCTTATTCTCAGTCTCCTTGCCTAGTTAGTCCAGTATCTTTTCCTTCTGGTTTCTCCTCTAGTATCTCTTCCTTCCCAGTTTCCAGGCAACATTTATCTCCTGCTTCCCTCCTAAGTATGTTTCTGTTTCTACTTGTACTGTGTGATGTTCCCATCATCAGCTTACTATTCAGTCTTTTTGCCCCACAGTCACATACACCTTCTGCAGCCTAACTTTTCTTCAGATCTGCTTTCTTCTCATCCTCAGTCCCACTGAAAGTGCTTGCCACTTTTTCTTGCAGTCTCTTTGTTGGCTCCTTTGTCTTACCTTTCTCGCTTCCTTCTGTTTTCCTTTTTTCTCTTTCCCCTCTCCCTAGTCTACTTCTTGTGTTTGGCTTTTGTCTCCCTGCCACTTGAAATAGAAAACTTCCTTTCCTCATTGCCTCATGGGCCTTTCCAACACAAGGTGGAATCTTGGACAGCAGTTTCAGTCTGTTTTTGACATGACACACTTTAGTTCAATTGCAGGCACAACCTTAATCAACCATCTCAGACGTGCTGTGTATGGTCAGGAGTTTAAGTTTTCAGCCATGAGTCTGTAGCAGATCCATGCTGAACTTGGGTGAACTATGATTTTGCAAAGATTTTTAGTCTAGTCTAAGAGTGTGAAAATAAAGGTCTCCTGTTGCTGGCATATTTGGTCTGAGTGCATGAAAGCATCAACTTCTCAAAGAGGTAGCTAGATTATTTTGATAAAGATAAAGCACCTTTCTTTGCCAGTATTTCTGAAATGGCAGTGTTTAGACAAAAGTTCTGTTAAAAATTTTATCCAGGCAAGTTCCTGCCATGAAAAATATTAGCCAAGTTGTTAATGTTATGAGAAAACAAATTAGTGTCTTAAAAATGGAAAGTTTCAGGCAGCCTTTATATTGTTCTATGCCACCAGCTTCAGTAGGAAAGTACTTGAAAAGGACAAAGGTGATGGAAGTAAAAATTGTGACCTTTCCTTTTTAAGTTGAAATAGTAGTAATCAATTTTCCAAATTCAGCTAAGAAAGATATTTGTTGTTAAAATAGCCATAATCTTAGTTTGATTCATGATTATAATAATGTTCAATGTTTAAAACAGGGACTCTGGTCTAATACTTCACTAGTATGCAGCAGATACTAGAATTTAACATTTCTAAAAGCTTTTTATTGTTCTCCTAATTTGTCCTAGACTGTTCATCGCCCGGCTGAACGCTGCTGTGCAGGATAACCAGTCCTTCACTAATACACTGTTATCCAAAGCCTCTAGTCTAATTTGACTTTCAGAAACAGTGATAGCAGTAAAATCACGTTTTTAATTTCTCACTTAATTTTCCTATCTCTGCTGTGCTTCTCATCTTCTTTCTTGGCCTATTCCCTCTTTATAATATCTTTTCAAAACACTTCTTTGAGAGCCATAATTCTCATAGGGAATTTAAAGTAGTCATTTTTTTCCTACAGGTGAGGGGTTCACAAACAGGGAAGTTCAGAAACAGCTGAACATCAATATAAATTATTTTGTGAACCCTTAAACAACAACAAATTTCCTCTAGACTTTTTCCTGAAATGAGCATCACTGTCTGACTAATAATTTATGGTGGAAAAAAATTAACAAATAATTTAGCGGCAATATTTTTAGAATCATTTATCCAATAAAGTGACAGTGTAATCTGATCTTATAAATTCCATATTTGTCCCAAAGCCTGAAGTCAGGCATTTAAAACAGAGTACTGCAATATTACTGTGAGAAGTCTAGTGTGAAATGTTGAAAGACATGGACATTGGTGAAATTATTTGCCAGTGGTATGTTTATACCCACTTAGATTTACTTAAAAGCATGTGTGGTTATCACAGTGATTGTCTTTGTCATAACGATTGCTGTAATTATTGTGATCGCATCTGTTGTTGCCCAGCTGTAGTTGGGGATAGGTTTTATTCAGTTGACACTGTGTAATTAGGGTCTTTTTATTTCTTCTTCAGTTGGCAGTTCTGCAAGTAGTAGTGCCACAAGGAGAGATTCTCTATCTACTAGCTCTGACTTGTACAAAAGATCTAGTAGCAGCCTAGCACCCATAGGGCAGCCATTTTACAATAGTCTGGGATTTTCCTCCTCTCCAAGTCCAATAGGCATGCCTCTGCCAAGCCAAACGCCAGGACATTCACTTACGCCACCGCCATCACTTTCATCACATGGATCCTCATCCAGTTTGCATTTAGGTAAAAAAAACAAAAACAAAAACCAAAAAAACACTTTTTGTTTGTATGTGTGTATGTATTTCTATGTGTAAAATATATGTTGCATAAGAGATGTCACATTACCTTTGCTGTTAAACAGTTTTGTAATGAAGAGGGGCCATTCCTGGTGGTGAAGAGCATGTTCAGATGCTCAGTGATTTGACAGTGGAGGGCACTCAGCTTTTGGCAGTATCGGGCCAACAACTGATTTTTCTTCCCTTGTAGAAGCCCAGTAAGAATTATTGGTCCTTTTTCTATTATGTTTCCACAGTATGACAAGCAAAGGTGCATTATTTTTGTTTCTCCTCCACTGTGTTGCTGCTTTAATGACATTGTAGATGATGTGTTCAACAGTGAAGTGACTTTCATTAATGCCCCTTGCCATGATAAAGTAGAAAAGTGAGCAGTGCTCTCTCTCAATGTAAAATGTATTGAAAGGTGATTTTTGAATCAGTCAACCTCATGGCCCAATTACTTTGCCAGGAAGACAGTAATTTATCACCAGACTGATGGAAGGAGACAAAAAAAAAACATTTCTCAAAGAAGTAGCAAAGGCATTGTTAGTGGTGGCTCTCTGTTATCAGATGTATTTTTTTAAGGAATGCTGAAAATAATTTCTTGAATTTTTTTTTTTGGCTAGTAAGAAAACATGGGAGCTCAACCTTTCTTTAAAAAAAAGTTTAAAAAAATAAAGGATCTAAAGAAACCCCACCACCGTATACAGTATATTTAGAAGATAATGCCTCTAACCCGAGGTTACCTGGTACAGTTTTTCCTTTTCTGCTGCGAATATTTGCAGTCATTTAATTTAGATGCTAAAATCATACAGTGGAACTGGATTTAATTCAAGATTGAGTTGTCAGTTGCTCCAGTAACTGTTCAATGCACAGTTCCATGCTTGCAATAGGCAATCCCCTATACGTCTTAGTGCAAATAAAACAGGAAACAAAATTTTTAAATGCCTACCATAATACACCTTTAGTGAAAAAAAGTACGAGTAATTTGTATAACAAAGGTAAATAATTAAAATATATTACATTTGCAGTACAGTATCCCCTTCAAGGTTAAGTGCTGAATACCCAAAATAAAACTGGGCAAGGGGATGTTTCAGCACATTTTATTTTTTTTTACTTACCTTTTTTCCTTTTTCAGGTCTACAAAGTGCACCTTTGGGCTGAGACCAAGCATGGAAAGTTTCAGCCCAAATGGAGGCTTTTGAGAAAGTTCTGAACATCTGACAATGGGGTTATCATGGAAATCTTTTTCTTTCTTTCTTTTCAAAGTACTCTCACCATAGTTTTCATATTGCTGAAAACTATACTTAAACCAAATTTTGGAAGGCATTATCTAAAATTTAAAACATTCAAAGTTTTGTTTGTTTCACATTTGATAAATGTTAAAAGACTTTTTTCAGTTCTGAGAAAATAGGCTGTGATCAGTACAGAGGATTGCCTCTGTCAGCAGAAATTGTTAAATACTGACTTTGACCCATTTTGAACTGTTTGGCAGTGTCAACTAAGCCTAATACCTTGTTAAAATCATGTACTAGATCAGTGTGTAACTGCCAGAATATACAGTTGTACTCTGAAAATTGACACAACCTTGTTGGCTTCCATATGTCCTCTTCATCATCCAAATGAAGTGGACCTTGATTACTGATAAAAACTTTTTGCTATATTACAAAATCAGCCTGAAATTTGGAAATGGAGGACTTTTGGATATTTGCTCTCAGAAAAATACAGTAATCTTTTTTAGCCTTTCTGCCCTGTGCCATATTTTTGCACAATTGCATGCAAAGTGTACCATGTACAAGTTTAAGGTTATTTCTGAAGTCAATTGTCTGTCTTGTTATATTTATTCTGGTGTGTTCATCAACCACTCTTGGAAGCATGTTTTGTTCTCACATACAAAAAATAAAAAAATCAGAGGTTTCTCACCAAGTGAGAAGTTATACCTGAAATCAAACAGGGAGTCTACTTTAATAAGGGGTATGGTTACCATGTAGTCACTTTTCAGAGTAGAACAACATTGTAAGTTCATGTCTGCATGCAGTTTCCATTGGTATTCTGATAATGCCTGTCAAATGCAGCTCTCCCTCCACCTTCCAAACTTGTCCTGCCTGCTTGTATCAACAGGTTCAGCTAAGTTTAACTCTTGTTTTAAAATGGGCATCAAACTCAGTTGCTCCTGTTTCAGCCACCAGAATCTAGAGCACTATACTGGGAAAGGGTGCATGGTTTTATAACCCCTTTGTCAGACACTGCTGCAATTTGTAGCTTAAAAGAACAATTTCCCTTTTACAAGAAATTTTGTGATATTTTGCTGTTTTTCTCTTCTCACCAACTTTTATCCAACATCCTAAAATAGGAATGTGCTAATAACTTTGTGCTAGTGTCAGTTTTCCTGTATTTGAAGGGATTTGTCAGTTGTCTGTAACTGCTTCTTTACTGTAATCAGCTGGAGCAGTAAGGTCATGAATTTGAACTACCCTTTCACTCCCAAGTACAAGGAACTGCAAGAGGAAGTGGTTTTCCATTGTCATAAAAAATCCTTTTAGATTTGTTGTCCTTACCCTGTTTGATGGTACATTGCAGCAATTTGAGAATAGAGTTCTGGTGTAGAGTAGGATTTCTAAAATCTGGGCTTTTGGAGGTAATTGTTTCCTGTGTGTTGGGAGCCAGTCTTGTTAGCAGTTGGGATTGCTGTTTCACCTGCAGAGATGGTCATTCTGGGTAAGAGTAAAGGCCCCTTGGCAAAGCAGTGTGGGGAGCTTTGCATTGCCTCAGCTGTGCCCCTCCTCTGTAGGGCTGCAGGGAACCACTCGTTATAAACACATGCATTGATTCCTGAAATATACATAGATCTGTGTAATTCTGTTTTCCATATGAAGATGAAACTTTAAGCTTAGGATGAGCTGAAGCTGCTTTTTTACAGATGAGCAAATACTTAATAGAAATTAAGTTTAAAGCATTTACATACGTGTATGTGTGTTGCTAGAAAAAACTGCTGACCCATGTAAATAAGTTACTCTGCAGTAGATGTATTTTCTGTCTTTATTAGAAATAATTGAAAAAATACTTTGATAAATACTAACAGACTAATGCTGTCAAAATAAATGTGCCTGGATCTAGTTTTTAATGTTTTTTCATTTTCTCCTTAACACTAAATGTGTTAAGGAGTCAATAATTTAACATGCTTTGTGTCCTTGAAACTAGGCTCTGATTTAGATGTTCTATATCCCCTTTATATCTCTCTGCCTTTTCCTCCCTATGGATTAGCCATGGGGGGTTTAAGTTAAATTAAACTGTAAAACCATCTTAGTATTACTCAGTGCTTTGGAGGTCTTTGTTTTATGAGATCAGAAGTGATAGCTAATTGATTATCTGAAGAATGAACGGCACACTGCTTTATTCAGTAGGGTATGTTCCCCATATAACTGACAAGATACAGGCTATTACTTTCCTAGTTTGGTGAAGAAAATAGGCCATTGTACTCACAATTATATCTGCATGTAATAAGTATCTAAGACAATATGCCTTTATTTTGGGAGTTTTGCTGTTTTTCAAATCTGCAGAGTTGCCACTGAGCCCTAACAGTGCTGTAATTAAAGGTTATGTGAAAATAAAAGCTAATTACTAATTAAATTACTCTTTTTTATAATAGTATCCGGTGTTTTAGAAGGTTCTGCTTTCTGAGTACCACAGGTTTTTCTGGGCACAATGGATGTGCTTTCTTAGTACAGCCTTCCTGTATTATTGTCCTGCTTAACATGATTGTCTGAAATAGTCTCACAGGCTAGACAGGAGCCTCCCAGCTGCAGCATAGTTATCTTACAAGTCTTAAAAAGTGATGGTTCCCAAATTAGACTGAAAAAGGCTTTAATAATTCTCAGCAGGAAATGCATATTACACATAAATAGCACATTTGTTATAAGTTACCAAATTTCTATTTTACTTGCTGGATAAATTGTTTCATTTAATTTAAAGAAATGAAGGCTCATTAAAAAAAAAAAAACAAGCTGAAACAATTCCTGATTCATATGTTCATTTCTGTGACTATGTATGTTGACTGAGCATATGATCAAAACTGCCCTATTAGTTTCTGGCACACAATTGAGCATGTGATCAGTGAAGTAATAGTGATCCTGCAACAGGAAAGCAGCCTGTAAGTTCCTTTCAGCAGATGGGCTCTGGTGCCCTCTCGTGCTATTAAATAGTGTTACTGCACAGCACCTACAGGGGAGCCAGGATTGCACTGCTGTGCAATGTCTACATAGTCCAGATGAGAAATACCATCATTTCAGCTGCATAACTTTTTTTTTTTCCTGTAGAAGTCCATTCCTAGAGGAAGAATTATGGCAGACCATCACTCTGCACACTGCTTCACCTGCAGAATGTTGGGCATTTCTTTTCTTTCTTTTTTTTTTTTTTTTTGTTGTTGTTGTTGTTAGTACCATAGTGTTTGTCAATGGAAACTAAAAACAATAGTTACAAAATTTTATTTTTCTGGCTGTAGAGAATTAAGAGGCCTTAATTTAAAAGAAAACCTAGTGATTTTTAAAAGGTACTATGGGACATAAAGTATTTATTGATGTTTGTCACAGAATTTTGAAGACTTAATTATAAAAATAAGTACTAATTATTTCTATTTTAGGGCATAGTACTATATAGTGCAATAAATGTTATGCTTGATGTGTCTTGCAGAGCACTAACGTTTCAGATTCTGGTACTAGAATTTGACCTTTTGAGAAAGATAACTTCACCATCAATACTTTGCCAGTCCACTGTAACACTGCTGTTGCCTGGCCTTATAAATACTTGGAACCAAATGAAGGATTGGCTAGGGCACAGTCAGCTGGGTTTTTTCTTTATTTTTTCTTTTTTTTCCTTTTCCTTTTTTTTTGCTTTTTTTAAAAATTAAGTTTATACTAGAGCACCATTCAAACAGCACGTACTGCAATTTGTTTTAAATTCAAATGTAGATATTCATTCTGTTGACTTTGAAAGGGCTTTGATTACAATGTTACTTCCTAGACAGGGAGACACAATGCTTTCCTTTTCCAATTCATAGTCAGTACTTTCAGTGAGTATTTGGTTTTTTCTTTCCTCAGTTTGGTTTTAGTAGTAGAATTGAGGTTTCTATGTGGGAATTATCTTTGAGTATTTCTGCTTGTAGTATAGTAAGAGTATTTCCCTAAAAAATCATACAGCAGTTGGGAAAAATGCTTTGGATGCGTTTTATGATAATTGCTGCCTTTTGTGGAGTGGAGGGAAGAGGCATGCTGGAGGAGTTCAGGGTGACCCACACTGATCAGAGAGCAGGGTGTGAGGGGACATGCACAGGACTGTAGAGTGACAGGAGCTGTAGGTGGAATCACTGGCAAACAGGAGCAGGACATAGACACAGGAAGGCAATTCAGTTCTTAGAAAGTGAGGAGGGATGAAGTGAGAGTGTTTGTGCAGTGAGGAAAGGACTTGATGTTTCTAAAAGGAGTTTCACTTTGATATATCTGTGGTTGTTGGATAATTAAGTAGAGCATCTTAGTTACCTGGTTGGAAATGTGACATATTTACTGCTGAGGAGAGGTACCACATTGAAAGCTTAGGATGCTGAAGTCATCAAAAAACCTGCAGGACAGGTACAGCTGGCAAGAGGCACCACATGTGCCTCCCCAAAAATGCCCCTAACGTGCTGTAAGCTGGAAAGGTATCTCAGTAGGGACTGAAGGGTAGTTCAGATTTCATGGTCCATTTTGACACAATTGGCTAACTTCAAGACTACTAACAAGGGTGTAAGCCAGTATGACTCGCGAAGTGGAAATCTGCCCACTAAGCCTAAGGCCCACCCAGTTCTAAAGTTTCTGTAAGGCTGAGTGGGTGCTCACTTTACCTACCTTGATATATTCTTCTAATGACATTTCTTTTCCTGGTGCCCTTCACAAAAAAAATGAGGAGGATAATGGTTTTATTTATTGCAAGATAAAGCTATCTAACTCCTCTGACCATAATGAGGTAAATACAAATAACAAGACAGCACTGTTGTTTTCTTTGGCTCCAGGGTGTATCGGTAGTTTTTAGTTCACTTGCTGTTTTGCTGTTGCTTACTTCCCTCTCATGGCTGTGACTGACAGAACTGCTTCCTTGTAGGAGGACTGACAAATGGTAGTGGTCGCTATATTTCTGCAGCCCCCGGAGCCGAAGCCAAGTATCGCAGTGCGGCCAGCACCTCCAGCCTCTTTAGCTCCAGCAGCCAGCTCTTCCCTCCCTCGCGCCTCCGCTACAGCAGGTCTGACATTATGCCTTCCGGACGCAGCCGGCTGCTGGAAGATTTCAGGAACAATCGTTTCCCTAACCTTCAGCTAAGGGACCTTGTTGGGCATATTGTTGAATTTTCCCAAGACCAGCACGGTTCTAGGTAATTATTATAAGAATAGTTAATAATATTTGACTGCTTTGATATTGTTTTATTAATATGAAACTTTTGAATGAGGTGCTTGTCATCTTAACTCAAAGCATCTTAATTGGAGCACACACTCTTAGGCTGACCTTCTCTAAAAAATTTCATTGTAAAAGTAGTATTAATTTAGCTGCCTGTAGAAATTTTCAGTGTAGAAATAGCCTCATAACTAGACTTGTAAACTCAAGTATTAAGGTATCAAAGAGGCCTTGGTTAAGAAAACAAAATATGTGGCATCTGGAACGTACAACTATTTTTTGTCAGTACATCATCAGATACTTAGTTGCTGTTATTCTTTTCATCTTTAATGCTTTTCAAATGAAAGTTTTCAAGTCTTAATTTTACTAAAATGTATCCTTTTATATGCAGAGGCACTACTTTCATTTTAATAAATTTTATAAATGTTGACTGCTTTCTTTAGAGTGTTGAGGTGTCTCATTGAAACAGTGTTTGAGAGGTTTTCCTGTTGTTGATGCAAAGCATAATGTACCTTTTTTTGCACTTAGGTTTATACAGCAAAAGCTGGAGCGAGCTACTCCAGCTGAGCGCCAGATGGTATTTAATGAGATCCTGCAAGCAGCCTATCAGTTGATGACTGATGTATTTGGAAACTATGTAATACAGAAGTTCTTTGAGGTAAGCATAGCACTAATTGTATGGATGGACGTGCAAATGAGATGCTGTAAATCTGATTCAGTTTAACTGGTCTTTCCTTAACACCATAGCAGAATTCTGCATGGCTTCCACAGAACTCAAGTGTGTCATCCTGCATGGGTGTTTTCTGTTCTCTACCCAGTGGTTTTTGCCATAATGGACACAGTTTCTCCTTATACTGGTAATGCATGAACACTGTGCACATTGAGGCTTCACAAACCTCTGAGGACAACTTAGATTTAGAGAGACTTTCAGCAGATGAAAGGGAACATAAATATTTGAAAAATGCTTTTTATTGGTTACTTCATCATGGTACAGAATGGTTTGGAAGATGCACTTGAGCTCAACCAGCTGTGTGAACTTCATCCAGTGCTGTGTATGAGGAAACTCCCATAAAATGTACAAAGGCAGAAGAATTTTGAGTAAGAGGTATCCATCATAAGATATATAACCAATATTACTACAACTAGTATTTAAAACAGATTTGTCTTCTCTTAAAAATGATGTGGTAAAAAAAAAAGGCTTCATCAAAGAATTACAAGATTTGGCTTGCAGAGAGAAGAAAAAAGTAATACCTGTGTCCTGGGAAAAGTTATATGTGGGAAAAGTATCTAGTATAATATACTTTAAATCAAGGGCCATATCAAAGACTTGAGGCATGAAGGTGATGCTGGAAAATGTCCAGTAAGAAATAAGATACTTGCTGTAAACAAGAATGTAATTTTTAATCTATAAAATAATGTCCTCATTTTTTTTACTTCTTTTTTAATAGCCAGTCAAAATATCTTCTGTAAAGTGTCACTGACATATGATATACAAGATCTTGATTTTGCTTAAGGGTCATCATTTGCTATTTTTTCCATATGTTAAGGTGGATGAATACACAGTTAATCATTGTTAGCTGAGTGTTTTTATCTTAATTCTGCAGAACACTTCTCAACAAAAGTGCATGTGACCTTACATGTAATAGGGGACCTGATTTTACTGTATAGGTAGGCAGGTGAAGTTGTTGGTCAGGCTTTCTACAGAGCTGACTACAGGTGTGGAGTTTGACCATTCTCAGCAATGCTGCAAGAATATTGCTGTGACATCAGCTGGCTGTCCAGCTGGTCACTTCTGTGTCCTCTCTTACAAGATGTGAGATACATTACACAAGTTTTGAGATAGAAAATTGGTTTGGATTCATGCATAATAGTGACCTGTGATCAGTTTGCCAGTATAAGTTATTTGAAAAAGTGGTTTATTGCACTTAAATATTCCTACAGACAGGCAAATATAAACTGTATTATTTCTTCTGTTGTCTTTCAAGGTCATGCATTTGATAGCAGGTATGTGAACTGGATGTGGAATATTACAAAATGTTGCATTTAGAAAAGAAAAGCTTCTGGTAAATATCCCCACTAAAATACAAAGTGAAAAATTATTCAAATGTTACAGTCATGTACATCCTGACAGTATTTACTCTGACATGTAAATTCCAGCATGCTGCAGCATGTCTTCATTTGTTAACAGGATATTTATTTGCTTTCAGTTTGGAAGCCTGGATCAGAAGTTAGCCCTAGCAACACGCATCCGTGGTCACGTCCTGCCCTTGGCCCTGCAGATGTACGGCTGTCGTGTCATCCAGAAAGCTCTCGAGTCAATCTCACCTGACCAGCAGGTAATTGTAAGTTAGAGCAATGCTTTTTTCATTTTATTTATTTTTATTGTATCCCTCTTTTTACTTGATTAAATTGATGATTATTCCCTTCATCATGAAATATGCTGGGGGGCAAAAATAGTTGTTTAAATGAAAGTACTGAGTACACAGTTAACACCAGTGAATATGAAGGTTGGAGTCAGGATGAAATTAACTTTTTTCCCATTTAAAGAAGGCGGGGTGGGGGAAATACCATCATAAAGACAAGGATAATCTTTGTTTTTCCAGAATGAAATGGTGAAAGAGCTGGATGGCCATGTTCTGAAATGTGTGAAGGATCAAAATGGAAACCACGTCGTACAAAAATGCATTGAGTGTGTTCAGCCCCAGTCACTCCAGTTCATCATTGATGCATTCAAAGGACAGGTAGTGCCAGTTGTTCATTTCCTCTTTGCAGATTGCTTAGATTTCACAGAAGAAGATTTGCAGGTTTTTGTCCACCATTTGCATGTACAAGATAGCATTTGCCGCTTTGCACTCAGCTTATTTTAAGTAGAATGAAAAAGGGAATGATGGCATGGAAAAGCTGTTGGAGAGGTAGTTAACATACTGTAAAAAAAATTAATTTCTTGGATATAAGGCTCTAGAAAGACATGTTTGTATGCATTATAAATAATAATAAATATTTATGTAATAAAAATACATAAAAGGGACTTTGCATGCCCAGGCTTTGTGTTTGTGTGTTGTGATAGCACCATTTCACATTTCCTTCACAGCTCTTGGCAGGGCCATTTTTTATACAATAATAACAACATACATGCTTTCTAGTATACATTTTTCATTAAAAATTACATTTTCCTATCCTGTTGCACGTGTGTCTTTCAATGTTTCCCAATGAATGTCAGTCCTTAAGGAACTGCAGTGATGAAATTCACTAATCTGTTCCCTACATATGGGCTAGTGTGAAGGAGGTGTAGTATTTGTTTACTTAAGATGGAGGTTTTTGTTTTGTTTCCCAAAAAGCATTATTACCGTAAAATTGATATTGTGCTGCAGGCTAGTGAATGTGCTGCAGCTAAACAGCATTTTAATCCTCTGAGACAAGCGTGTACTTTTATAGTCTTGAGAAGAATTGTAAATGGAATAGTAAAAATCTTACTAACTTGGCTATATAACTAAATTTTACTTTAATGGGTGGCCAAATGTATTTCCTAATAAAATCTACAATATCTTTCTCATTTTACACAACAGCAATACCTGAATTATTGTTGTACATAGTACTGAATTGCATACCAAGGTTTCTAGGGTTTGGTCTTTTTGCACCAAAAGTGTGTTATGAGGGTGTAGGAGGTACATGAGATGCATTTTTTAAACTGTAAATAGAGCCCCTTGACTAAAGTATGAGTTTATGTACTGAACATCCATCCTAAGCACCAAGTAATTAAATGTAGAAAATAGTAGCTAATGTGAAATGGCAAATGAAAAATGTTACACTTGTGACATTCCTTGTAATTTTCTCCTGCATTTTGAGTTGATGCCTAATCATACAAGGTTCTGTGTTCAGTTCTGACCAACAATGAAGTTTTTGTAATTAACCCCCAAATCACAAATGTAGCTTCAGGAGAAGCAAGCAGAAGGAATAAGCAAGATTTGGCTGTATGTTTTGAGTAGTTACTTACAAACTTTGTATCTGTAACTGGGAGCTTATTGTGTGTACTGGAACATGAAATTGGCGAAAATCAGCCACTGTTACTGAATTCCTTTTTATAAGTGTCAAAGTCTTGAAATTTGATAAGAAAGTAAAAAGGAAAGCTTTAAATTCAAACAACAGTTACCTAAGGGTCATACTTCCAGGTTTTCCTCTGCAGCTATGTAGGCTAGAAACATTGTAATGAGCACTTGGGTTCTTGTATGTTTTCTGGAGTCCTTGACACACAAAAACCTGCTTTTTCATCTTTTCCTGACTTTCCCTGGAAATGGAATTCTGGTCTGACCAGACAAAACTGGTTTTTTTAGTAGTAGTTGGTGTGTTCAGTTCCATTTTGAATGCAGCAATATTGCAATAGATGTGAGCTTCAGTTGGTTTAATTCAGTTTACAATCCTGTTTTCAAGGTATTTGTGCTTTCAACTCATCCATATGGTTGTAGAGTAATCCAGCGTATTCTGGAGCACTGCACTGCTGAGCAGACTCTGCCAATCTTAGAAGAGCTGCATCAACACACAGAGCAGCTGGTGCAGGTCAGTGCGTGTAGGCTCATTGTCAATGCACCTCAGAGCTTTTTGTTATCATCATTTACTCCTGTGTCCTAGTTTAAATGCATTTGACTCTTTTTAGTTTTGTAGACATTGTTTTGGTTTTCTTTCCTTCTGTAGTTTTAATGAAAATGAATGTGGAAGTTGGGAGGCAAAGAAGATATAAAAAGCATTTTTCTTACCCTTTGACTGTAGCTTGGTCTTCAGGGGAATATTACAGCTGTTAAGAAAGTATGTTCTTAAATTTGAGGACTTCTTTCTTTAAGAGGATAAAAGATACTCTAGCAAAACACTGGTTTTACAAATTAATTACATTTTTCGTGTGAAATTTGTGGTCCATTAAGTAATTGTTGATGAAATATTTCTTACATCACTTTGCTTCTGTAATTTTGACGTTACTGTGTTTTCCTTATATCCATGCAAAGAGTAATTTCATACTTTATGTCAGTATTCGTTATTTGGTATGAACACAAGAGAAAATGTAAGTCCTCTTATTTTCAGGATCAATATGGAAATTACGTTATTCAACATGTACTGGAGCATGGTCGTCCTGAAGACAAAAGCAAAATAGTTTCAGAAATAAGAGGAAAAGTTCTAGCTCTGAGTCAGCACAAATTTGCCAGGTATTGCATAACTTTCATATACTAAAGATTCATTAACCTTGTGAAGTTGTAATACTGGATTTATTTCTTGTGTTACTAAAGGGATACAATTTTTTTTTATTATCTTACCTCCTGAAATTCCATATTCTTATAGAGATGAATGGTAGTGATATTTTTATACTAGGTTTGGGGAAGGGAAGAGACAAATATTCTGTAGCAAAACAAAGGGGGTTCTGTGGGTTTATGGGATGGCTTTTGTTCGCTTTGTGCAAGTGCAGGGAACATGTTCCAAGTTTTCATGTAAGGATGCCCAGAGCCAGGTGAAAAGCTCTGCTGGAACTTGAGTGATTTGCTGATGACGATGAGCTGGGACCTGCTGACTCTCAATCCTGCCTAGCAATTTGCAAGTATAACAAGGCTAGCTTTAAAAACTGGTAGTTCAGTCTGACAAGGATTTTCTGTATTAGAAAGTCTGAAAGACTGCTGTAGGAGAACTCAACTCTTCTGAAATTGGAACCTACAACTCCTCCTTTTGTGCTTTTTGCTGAAATATGGATTATGTGCTTTTTGTGAAGGAAAAATACACCTGAGAATTCATTCTAGGTGATTTAGTGAGAGTAACCTTATCATCAAAATGACGTAGAAATGCACTGTGACTTTATGGGGACATTTGTTTTTAAAACCGCTAGTGAACTAGTTTATTTGGAATTTTTTTTTTTTTTGGCCTGAATAGAACTCTTCAAAACGCTCTAACTTGCTTAATTTCTAAAGCACAGACTTAGGACTGGGATCATTTTGCTGTGTTACAAGCTTTGATGGCCTTTCCTGCTTCTGAAATAAACTGGAAGGTCAGAGGCTTGCTCTACAGAAGAATATTTGATGGAATCTCTGATGTAGGCATGCTCTTGGAAAGTGCCTTTATTCACAAAGCAGAAGTCTTCATACCTGGCATTCTCTGTTGGGTCTTCAAAGGGCCCACAACCAAAATAGATGTGCTAGAACACATCTGCAGCCTGAAGTCCAGTACACCTATGTAGGTTCAGTGGAAAAGTCTCTCCTACCAGATAATCAGAAAATAACCCTGTCACATGGATGAAGTAATAGTGATGTGGTGACTGACTTCCTCAGTCATTAGACTGGAGATTTGGAAATGAGGAATTGATGCATTTGCAGTATGCTCTTCACTGGCATTAAGAACCCTGAAGAACTGATAAACTTCCAGAGAAATTGATAGTAGGTACCTGAAAAAATGTTACACCTCCAGTCCTATTGGAAATCGAGGCAACCCCGACAATGGGAGGAAATTATGCATCTGACTCCATTGATATCAGAAGGCTAAGTAATTACTTTATTATACTATATTATTCCATACTACATTACACTACATCTAAGCTGAATCTGCACAAGCATTTAACTCAACTGCCCAGAATCTGTGACTGTCAGCCGATAGTCCTGACACACACACGTGGATTCAATAGGTCAGTGAATCAAAACTGATCCAATCACCAATTCCCGTCAGGTAGACAATCTTCCACAACATTCCACATGTTCCAAAACAGGAGCAGTAAATGAGATAAGAATTGGTTTTTTCTTTCTCTGAGGTTCCTTGCTGCAATTCCCAGAACTTCTCCTTGGGAAGCTGTGCCTTGCTTTTCTCTGTGAGGAGAAATGCGGCCACACAGTCCCACCATGGACTTGCCCTCTTTTTCAGCAACGTGGTGGAGAAGTGCGTGACGCACGCGTCGCGCGCGGAGCGAGCCCTGCTGATCGACGAGGTGTGCTGCCAGAACGACGGCCCGCACAGTGCCTTATACACCATGATGAAGGACCAGTACGCCAACTACGTCGTGCAGAAGATGATCGACATGGCCGAGCCCGCCCAGAGGAAGATCATCATGCACAAGGTATGGGTGTGCATGTTTGCAGGGATTCAGAGACACGGCTGGGAGCTGTTCTGCCACAGCACCTTCCCCTGCAGGTGTAAAACTCAACGCTTCTGTCATCTAGAGCCTGATGGCATTTACCAAGCTCCATGACATTCAGTGGAGCTTGGTAAAGGAGAAAACATTCAGGTCTCTGAGCACTGAGCTAAAAAAGGAAAGTTTCAGTAGCTGGATTTCATCTTCTGTCTTCATGCCAGCTTTTATGTGAAAATACTTGTAACAGGAAAATGTAGTATCTGTCATCTCTATTAATATAACAGGAGAAATACTGTTTTCTCTTTTTATTTCCTGGTTGTGGCTATAAATCCACTCTACAGTTCCCCCAAAAAGAGATTGCCACACTTCCTAGCATACAAGCACATTTCTACTTAAGAATATCCAGACATGGAGAAGTGTGCTGTTGCCATAATGGCCAGAGGCTATTAACACAGGGCCCAGAATATTCCTGCAGGAGCTCTGCTTCCCCCAGTCACCAGCAGGGCTCTCCCACAAAGTACTGCCTCCGTTTTCCTGCAGTAGGAACATCAGTTATTTGATGAGTCAAAATCACCAGTTTTACATCTTTCCAGAAACTTCCAGCACTTTGAAATACAGGCTTCTGACATCTTTTTGCATCATTTTTTCATAGTGTAGTCACCTCTATTTAAAAGTCTGGATGTTAAAAAAGCCAAACGTGTTTCTTATTACAGATTCGACCCCACATCACGACTCTGCGTAAATACACCTATGGCAAACACATTCTGGCCAAGCTGGAGAAATATTACCTGAAGAACAGTGCTGATCTGGGGCCAATTGGTGGACCACCAAATGGGATGCTGTAAAAGACAAAGAGAAACAGAAGAAAAATTAAATTGTGAATTATCAAAACCTACAACTTAACTCTAAATGTTCTGATTTTTTTAAATCTATTTATTGACTTTGTTCATCCATTTGTAAAATTTTTATTCTTGTGTATATTTTTGGGGAGTGAATTGTTAAAAAAAATCTCCAGCCCTGATCCGGAGACCTATCAGATTGGATGGCTGGCAAAGCACAGAATGCCTGTATATGATGTAATTGTATCAAAATAGCTGTCACATATTTTGTAAATTTTTACCTTGTAAAGTCACTGAAATAGTTTTTAAAGGGAAAAAGTACAGTATTCTTTTAATACACTGGCTGGCAATCTGGTAGGTCTACCCAGCATCATAGCACAACAGGTTTATAGAGTTGTATATAGAATTAATCCTTATTTTTCCCTTTTGTGTGAAGTCTTTTATACCAGATTAAAATTGATCAGCTGCATAAACATCATTTAACATGTTGAAAAGTTAAGTTGTATTTTGGTGGTTCACAACATCCTATCCAAATAACAAAAAAGGACACAGCAAATTAAAGTAGGGAAGAACAAAACGACGGAAACTTTAAAAGACTAGGTTTTGGCACTTGCTGTGGATACAGGTTTTTTTAAATCATGCCCTAAGGTTTTCTCTAGCGATGTATTAAAAATAAAGTGCTGTATATACTTATATATTTAATTGTTGTACAAGGTAGAGGGATTAAAATGATGGTGGTACTTCCATTCAGCAAAGTACTCTGTTGGAAAAGAAGTGAACCTGTATTAACTTTACAGTCAGTTTTACAATGCAGGAAGAGTAGAGATACGTATTTTTTTATTTTGCATATAGAATTGTAAGAATTTGAAAGTGTTGAGCATTTATTTTGCTTTCTCACTGTAGATGCAAAAAATAGGTAATGATAAAGAGAAGGGGCCACTGAAAAGTAAACTTGATAGCTCAACATTTAAGCATGATTGATTAAATATTCAGATAGCTTTTTGCTTCCTATAAATATATGCATTGTATACGTGTAGTTAATAGGTGTAAGTTTACAGTTTGAAAACAAATCTCTCGTTTCGATGTTTATTACAAAGCCTTGCTAATTTAGTAGTGATGCTTACCTTGGTTGTACAGATGTACATTTGTAAACCTTCATGCTGTAAATGTAATTTGTTTTACTCCTTTTTGGGACAAAAATTTGCATTTTAGTGTATATTCATATCCTCATTCCCTTCTTTCCCCCAGCATATAGTGTTGTATAATGTAAATTTATTTCAGCAAATCAAGAGTGATTTTTTTAAAATTCTATCTTTATATGGTTTCAAAAATATGAACCGGCTTTCTTTTTATCTATTGTGAGAAACATTATGTTTTGTTTATAACATAGCTGTTGAATCTGTTCATATGGACACTTTGGGAAATCAATCTGTTCAAATTTTAAATCAGGATAAATAAGCATAGTAAGAAGTGGACTGAAATATTTGGTTATTACAGAAACCAATGCTTCTTCCATCTTAATAAATGTGGCATGAATTTTTTGTACAGAAGAGTACTGTATTTTTGAATAGCCTTCTCGCAGCGTAAAGCAAATATGTATGATACTGTCGATTTTTTTCTCTGGACATATGACATTGTAACAGTAACAAAAAGATGATGTACATATACAAGCGGCCTTATGTACATTTCCCAATGATCTTTTTAAGGCAGAATTGTGACCATATGTGTATAATTAAAATCCTTTTTAATCCTTTGCCTATGGAAATATTTTGGAAAAAGCTTACTTTGTATATTCAGTTTCTGAAAGATAAAGAAAGTGCTTTGTATGTTGTTGAAGTAAGTATTTTGTGTAAAATGTTCATTTGGATGGCTTAACCTAAAGTTTTGATCAACGTGGTAGTTTGGAAACAACATCTTGAGCATTGATCAAATAAAAGGCTGTTTTGGTAGGGGTGTGATCATGAGAAAGAAAATAGTAGTGGTACAAACTTGTATGAGAAATTCTGTCATGTTACTGTTGGTACCAGGGTTATATAACTGCTATCTAGCAGACATCTGAGGTGCTGCGTTTCTAATGGTAGTGAGAACTCCTTAATAGGCAAATGGCAAAGTCTCTTCCGGCCTACTTCCAGTGCCTGCATGAAGTGAAGTAGGAGGCCTCGTTATTTTGAGTAAGCACAATTCTAATTGCCAAGTAGTTTTTGCATGGCAGTTCACAAAATTCCCCCCCAGAGGTACCAGCCCAGTCACTGGAGCCAGAGCTTTCCTGTAGGCACCCAAAGGATGGCTTTGAGCCACTCCCTTGGACACATCAATTCTCAGTGACTGTCTTTACCCTGTGAACCTGTGCCGTGTGTTATAATCCACAGAGCCGGCATTCCTTCAACACCTAAGACAGTACAGCAGGCTTTTGGGGATGTCCAGGCAGAAACTGAAAATATCTCTGTACTTTGTCCCTGCAGCACTCATGCCATGGTTGAATTTAAACAGTCCTGTAACTGTCATCCTTGGTGCTTTCAATATCTTGAGTATAATCTTCCACTTGCTCTCCTGAGATCATTTGTGCACAAATTCTATCCAGGAACATGAAAATCACTGGATTTCCTTTCAACTATTTTAGGGTTTGGGTAGAACCACTAGACTTTTTGCTCAAGTATTGCTTTTTGATATAGATTGTTTACGGACCAGTTTGATTAGGTTTGACTCCAGGTGGCTCGTATTGAATAATGTAATGCTCACGTGTATATACTGTAAAAATCAAAATGAAAATGTGTGAATAACACTGTGTGAAATATATCTGGTCTTGTGTTTTTCCTGTAGGAAAGCAGCCATATTCTCATGTGACTTACCTGTGTCTGTGGAGCTCAGCTTTGGGAAGGTGCTCACTCGCTTGTTCTGATAGGAACTGGGCAATTATTGAAGAACCCTGGATTAGATCATTAAACTTTCAGAGGGCACTTTTGAGCAGCTAAACCTTCCTATTTTATGCAGTGTGTTTACTGATGCCTAGTGAAGGCTACAGCCTCGTGACAGTTTCTTTTTACATCCCTGCATTCAGGATGAGTTCAGGAGCATTTGAGGGGGTTAGCTTTCAAATGAGAGAAGAAATTGTTAGCTCTCTGTGGCATCCCTGGATCCACACTCATTTCTGTTACTGCCCAGGAGATTTTTCATAAGTCCATTTGTAGCTGAAGGTGTGGAGTGAAGTGGACTGACAGCACAGGAAATGAGCCTGGTGGGAAATAACTCACCTAAGGGGCCCCTGTGGACAGAACAGTCATAATGCCCATCCCTCCATCCCTGACTTTTCCATCAGAGCATGGAGAAAATTGAGGTTTTGGGGTCATAATGCTTAGACGTTTTAAAGCGCTGATGCAAATTCAGAAACCAATTTAGTCACTGTTCTCTCTTCTCTAAGGGACGTGCATTTGGAGAGATGCTTACGGCTCATCACAGCACAGCAGCACAACAATGAGGTTGGGCTCCATGGGAGTGTTTGATGCTCAGCATTCCAATAACTGGGAAAGTGGTTAACAGTGGGGTGATGACAACTCCCACCATGTCCTCCAGGGAAGCTGTGAGAATGCAAAAGTATTTTAACATCTAGTGACTGGTCATTGAAGCTGCAGATTGCATGCAAGTCATGCACCTGGGGGGAGAACTCAGGGCAAAAGACAGAGCAGCACTGCCCCTGCAGCCAGGGTGGCCACAGCACTCCAGTGAGGAATTCTGCATGGAGCGGTGCCTGAGCATCCTGTGTCCTGAGAGTAGCAGACCCTGCCCCCGTGGTGACACAGTTCTGCTGCTTGAGGAAGGAAAGGGGAGCGCCATGAGCTGTGTGGTCTGAGCTGTTGCAGCCCACGGCAGGGCAGGAGTGGCTGTTGGTTTGTTAACACAGCGGTTCATGTCATTCCACCCTGCCAGGACCACATGAAGTCTCATTAGTCTGTGGGCAGCGCTGATGTGATGAGTTACAGGCAGTGCTTTACTCAGCCCAAACAGTGTCAGATATACAGGCACTATCTGTGCCCAAAGGATGCTGATTCAAGCACCCCTTGGCTTGGGAATGAGGAAGCTTGGTTCCTGTCAGGGATATATCCCTCTTGGGGGCTCTGCTTGGTTCCTGATGTTGGGCTAGGGAAGTGTGGGAGAACTTGGCAAGTGTAGATCCTGCCACCCAGGAAGAGACAATCTGAGATGCTGCAGAGTGAGCCTGGGGTGTTTGCTCTCCTGTGCAGCAGAGCACCCCAGGCCTCCCCCACTCCAGAAGGGATGAAAAACCAGCACTGTCTTCACAGAAGGAGTCACACGTGGAGAGGATGAAAGGATGTCTGTCCATCCAGTGTTGATAGTGCTCCAGAGCTGATACAGGACATGGGTCTTCCTGAGCTAGTGCAGGAAAGGCAGTAACTGCTTTGGCCAGGAGAATGAACCAGATCCCAACATCGCACATTAGGTGCCAGAACACAGAGGCTGTGGGGTGGGGGAGCGACCACCCTGCACCGAGGCAGGGAGGGGTGGTGAAGACCAAGCTTAGGGATTTACCTGAGCTGCTGGTGCTCCTCAGTGAGGAGGTGCACGGGCGTTTCCTCCGTTGGACAGAGCCTGCTCCCTCTGCAGGCTCGCTCTGTGGTTAAGGAACTTGCCCAGCAAACGAGATGCTTGAATTAGTTTCCATTACCAGCCTCAGGGTTTTGAACCCACCTCCCTCACTTCACAGGCACTTTCCTAACCACAAGGAGCTGGGCGGGTTTACTTTCTACTCCTGAATTTGGGCTGGGCTTTTAGCACAGCTCCAACCATTCATTGCATCACAAAGAGCACAAGATGGAGCATGACTCCTAAAGCACGCAGGTGGGAGTTGGAAGTTCTGCACCTGAGATCCTTGTCTCCACCTCGATTCTCCCAGACTCACTTAATGCAAAATATATCTCGGGAGCAGCATTCCCCCATCATTATCAGACTGGAAACTTTCCAGAGGCTTTATAAAAGGCAGCTGAAATGCAGGAAGACCTAATCTAAAGACCCTCTTTCTTTCATTAATAAGAACAAACATTGGAATAAAACGTTCGGCTTCTCACCAGCATCAGTACTCTGGGCACAGGAGGCCTTCTGTCTCTTGCTCTTCTGCTTGCACAGTAGGCACTGTGCCTACCCGACCCCGAACTCCCCAGAACTGGAAACAAGAGCCGGGGCGCATTGCAGGTGACACAGCTGGTGTGCAAGAACATCGGCTGGGCGGGGAGAAACCCCTCACATAGCTGAGCCCTAATGAGCTTCGTTTGAGCTTCAGACCTGCCTGGAGGGCTCAGATTTCCTGGCAGCCGCGCAGCACCGCAGCCCTTCCTCGGCCTGGCTGCTGGATGGTTTCCCAGCCCAGCCCCGGGGAGCGAGGCAGCCCTGCCCCAGCACAGCCGTGCGCAGGTGCTGGAGGCTGGGGGAAGGCTGCGTGCTTGTCTGCTGATCACAGGGCAGGTTCACACGCTGCAGCTTCACAAACACTCGCTCTCAGTACTGGCTGCAGGTCGTACCCACAGCAGCAGAGCTGCCCCAGTTCCTGAGTGCCACAGAGGAGTGTCACTCGTGGGCACTGGGGGGTATTGGCCAAGCCTGCTGAGCTCCCTCTCCTTACAGGTGATGTTGGCTGTGCCTTCTCAGGCTGTGAGGCCACTGTCTGCTCCTGTCAAAGGGCTTCCCTCAGTGCTGGGGAAGCAGAACAGTTGCAGGTGTCAGGTCCCAAAGTAAAGATCCCCAGAGACATACAACTGCTTACTGAGGGCTAATGGGAACTAAGAAGGGAAGTGTTACAGCAAGGGAACACACGCAGGTGGTGGCAGAAAGCACTGGCTAGCAAGGGAGATGATGACAGCACATTTCACAGCTATATTCTCTTCTCCCAAATATAGGCACCCCATTCCCTGTCTAAGCTGGAGGATCAAAAATTAAAGGTTCCTTGGTGGGAATGAAGACTTCTCTTTCCTCCCCTGTATAAACCTTATCTCCCTTTCTCTGAGACAGCTAAAATACAACATCAGAAAGTATTTCCATTCTTCCCTGCACAGGAGGAGAGGTTTTGGGAGGCCATCTGTTCATACAGGCTGGATCTTGGAGAAGGATTCAGCCCCTTCGCCGGGGTCTGCCTAGATGCTGTTCCTTGCTCCACACCAGTGTGGGAACTGGATCCAGAGGCTGGTACAACAACCACGGCAATCACTCAGTAAGCAAGAATGAGAAGCTGGGCTGAGGAGCTGAGGATGGGCAAACTCAGTGCAAATCACAGAGTCCAACCCCTTGCATGGAGGGTTGGGATGAATGGAGCAGAGTTCAGCCCTATCAGAGATCCAATCTATACACTGATCTCTTTCAATAGAGCCATTTGGCTCTTAAAAAGCCTTTTTGTATGAAAACTCACCATCTTAAGTACTCTAAAACTCACATGATGTCTCCTGTTTCCTTGAAACATCATGTGTCTCATGAGAACTAAGAGTTTGATTATTCATCCCAGTTTGGGAGTCATACAAGTTCACATCCTGCAGGGAAGGGGTCTATCATGCAGCCCTTCCCCATGTGCCACCCCCTTCACATGCAGGGAAGCAAAAGTCCAGAGGTCTGATCAGGGTGTTCAAGGTGACCCACATTTCTGTGAAGTGCTGCACAGCCCTCACTGGCCACTTGCAGAAGGGATACCCCCACAGGGCCATGCAGCTACACCCCACCAGCGAGGCTATGGGGGAAGTACCATCCCAGTTTAAAACCAAATCTGTTTAAATGTGGATGCTCCTAGGCAGACTCATCCACTGGGAACAAATCCCGTTGCATACTCAGGGATCTGGTGCCATTGGAGGAACCCTTGATCATCCAAGACACCTGGGCAAGGCAGGGAAACATTCCCTAGGAGCTTGCCTCAGCCAAACCTTCTATTCCAGCAGAATGTCTTAGATGGCACTGGACACCTTAATATACACAGCTGGTCTCTTCACCTAGAACATACCAGAAATCAGTAAGCAACATTTTATAAATCAATGGTTAAAAGGAGGAGGAAGAGAAGGGAGGGAGGGAAGAGAAGGCAGGACTAGGCCCAAAGGGTTTGTTGGGAATGGGAGTGAGAACAACTTTATACTGAATAATGGAATGGGATGAGAGGTGGCAAAATAAAGGATCTACATCTACACACACACACAAAACTTTTGCAACCACAGTGCAATAAACAACCATAAGGACCTTTTGGATTACAAATAACGGGAGAAGGGAGGGAGAAGGCAGATGGAACACCTTGAAAACCAAATGATGCTTTTTTAAAAAGTACAAAATATAGTAATAATAGTAAAAAGACACTTTATGCATTGCAAAACCTTCATTCCAAGCCTGCCTGTGAAGTATAGGTAATTTCACAGTCTCCTTAAAAGAAACCAAACTAAAAAATGGAAACAGAATAAAATTTGAGGCTATTAAAATATCTGTGTTCACTTCCTGTTGCAAATATCTTTGTTCGCCCAAAGTCAGTGCTGTCAGAGTGAAGCAGGCACCAGGCACACATTCCACAGTAAGCTGAAACCCCTGGTAAACCCACAGCTTTCTCTTCCCCACAGATATTTGGGTCAGCAGTGCAGGACCCAACACTGCCCAGCCAGGTTTACAGCCCCTGCTCCCGTCCCACGTATGTGCCCTGCTGTGCCCCTGCCCTCCTCCTGTGCCCGTGCCCAGCGGGGCAGATGCTCCCATGGAGGTGGCTCAGCCCCAGGAAGGTGCTGGCAGGCAGACACGGGAGCGCAGCCCGGTCTGTGCCTCAGCCGTGC